GAGGAGGAGGAGGAGGAGGCGGAAGAGGACGACGAGGAGCCCTCCAACGAGAACCAGTTCAAAAACGACGGCACTTTCATGGAGATGTTCAAAAAGATGCAGGAGGAGCAGAAAAAGAACCAGGAGGCGGCGGCGGCCGAGCCCAAGGCCCCCTTGCCCGTTTTCGGCAAGCGGAGGGGCGGCAAGGTCCTCAAAACTGGGATGGTGCAGAAAACCAAAACGATGACTCAGGAAGAGAGCGATGCTCAAGATGCGTGGACTTTGTATATGAAAGAAGTCAAAAGATACAAAGAAGCGTGTTGTGATGACGATTCCAAGACGAGGCTACTCGTTAAATAGACTATTTTTAATATCATTATCATAGTTGTTATCAATTTAGATTTAAGATTTAAAATTCACTGTGGTGTTTTGTACAAAATGGACGCTTTCCAACGCTTAGGTAATTAACATCGTGACAGCCTTGACCCTTTTTGACATTTACTCACAATCAAAATTAATTTAGTCAGATTTCGACAGTCTTTTCTCTTCTTTTACAGACATCATGCCTGAGGTTCTCAAATTTGAAGATTTGAAAACTGCACCCTTTGACCCCCGTTTCCCCAACACCAACCAAACTCGCTACTGCTACCAAAGCTACTTGGACTACCACCGTTGCCAAAAGCTCAGAGGCACGGACTACAAACCATGCGACTACTTCAAGAAGGTTTTCCACTCAATGTGCCCCAACGCCTGGATCGAGAAATGGGATGATCAAAGGGAAAACGGCACATTCCCTGGCAATATCTAAACATTTCTTGTCAGTAGATATAATGTAGTTTACATTCTTTTATTATTCAGTGTTAAACTGTGTAAATAATTTACGTTAAATAAATAATAACCAGAATGACATTCTTGAAATTAAAATTCCCGCATATATTAGTGACTTACATTTCATCAAGTTTATACGCCTGACATTTGATTTGACGTTAGTCCGGCCATAACCTCACATTTGGCCATTTTTTGTAAAATTTAAATAATGGCAGACGAAGAGACTGTGAACGGCAGCAGCGAAGAACTGCCTGAAAAGTCGCAAAAGAAAACCGCAAAGTACGACAGTGGGGCTGCCGATCTCGAGAAAGTCACCGATTATGCCGAAGAAAAGGAGATTTCGACACAAAACGTAGCTGGGGCTATTTCCGCAATCGGCGATCGGCGGAATAAAGAAGCCCTCGAGAAACAAGCCCGTGAGAAAGAATTGCTCAAAGTATCAGTTAAGAAAGAAGACGTTGACCTCATCGTCCGTGAAATGGAAATCTCCAGGACGCAGGCCGAAAGGACCCTAAGAGAGTACCACGGGAATGTTGTCAATGCACTTGTAGCTCTAACAAACTAATTTATTACAATTTTGTATTTAATTCTATAAAATTACAAATATTCGCGGTCCATTGGAGTCTTTTTTGCCCGTTTGTCGCGAGCACGTGGGAACCAGCGGTGTTTGGGTGTGTGAGTAATGTCCATTAGTTCTTGCCGGGCCTGGTCAGGGGTCTTTTTATTAAACACTTCCTTAATTTGGGGGGTTAGTTGCGTTTTGAGGACAGACGAAGTGTCTTCTAGTTGGGTCTCAGGTAATGGTTGAGTGCATTCGTACGGGAAGTCTTGTTTTGGGTGCCAAGCCACGTACGTGCTTTCGTCGTCAGTTAAGACAATCTTGTGGTCCGGGAATTTAGCAGAAAAGAGTCTTTTTGCCAGAGTGCTGACAAGTTGGGGCTGACATAACCTCAAACTCATTTCTAGAAAAATACTGATATTACACGAACCAAAAGCATTTTATTTCACTCACTAAATTTAATGTTAATCTGCTATTTCGTATTATTAAAAATTTCATTTACTTCTTGGCCTTTTATTCCTCCTATGTTCTTGTTTTTACAACCGAAATTCAGAATATTCAATTTTTGTACCGAGTGCGCGTTAGTACGAAAAAAAACATTTAGATTTCTAGTTACGTAAGTTTAAATTGTTAAACATTGTAATATGATACATTCTAATTTGAACATCTGTTTTAAAAAAATATTGTATATAAAAATATTAAGTGACATTGAATTTTCAAGCACAATTTTCGATGTTAAAAGCTATCGATGTTCGAAGAACTCATCTTTTAGATGACATTTCGTTAGATAACCTCTAAAAAAGTGGGGTTATATAACATTGTGATTGATTGATTCTAGTTTAATTAAACTAGATTAATTAAGACTAAAATACTTGCATACTACTTATTTAAAGACTACCTCAATAATGTCAAGTACTACCAAAACCACAAAAAAGTGATAAGCAAAAGTGAGGTTATGTAATTTAGAATAATGAGCCGAAATTTCGTTATTTAAGCGAATATTACAATGTTATTAACAAAAATAAATCGACTGACTACGACTTTATGTAGTGGTGGTTATAAAGCACTTTTTCGACCGAGAAATCATGAATTTCACGCCGGCTCCCGACTGTCTCAAAACACGAAAAACTCAAACGAAGCTCAGAAAAAACGCATACGATCGACTTTATACTACGTAACAGCAGCGGGTGTCGTAACGGCTGGTCTCAGTTATGCCGCAGTGCCCCTTTACCGGCTATTTTGCCAAGCGTATAGTTACGGGGGCACAACCCAATCCGGTCACGACGCCAACAAAGTCGAGACAATGCCATCGATAAAGCATCGCCTTTTAAAAATAAAATTTAACGCCGACACTGCTGCCAGCATGCGATGGAACTTCCACCCACAACAAAGCGAAATTACGGTGCATCCGGGAGAGACCGCGCTCGCGTTTTACACCGCCAAAAACCCCACAGATAAGCCTGTGATTGGGATCAGCACTTACAACGTTGTGCCGTTCGAAGCCGGTCAGTATTTCAACAAAATACAGTGTTTTTGCTTTGAGGAGCAACAGTTGAACCCACATGAGGAGGTACCCAAATATGTTTCTTAATCAAATTGTACAATTTTTTTATAGGTCGACATGCCTGTGTTTTTTTACATTGACCCCGAGTTCGTAGACGATCCTCTGATGGAATTTGTCGATGAAATTACTTTGTCTTACACGTTTTTTGAGGCAAAAGAGGGGCTGCAGTTACCTGTACCGTCATTTGTTAAGTAATTGTTAAATAAATTTGTTAGTGCATGATTTATTTCGACTAGTATTTGATGGTGGCGGTGATTGGGAATGACCTCCTCATCCCCATACATTTTTCTCTATCAATGAACAACGAATTGACTTTGCTGTGCAAATCTGACTCCAGATTTGATCTAGTTTTGAGCAACTGTTGGTGCTGAGCTTCCGCTTCCTGGAGCTTTCGGTGGAGGTACTCAATGCTGTCTTGAATGTCAACCACTTCCTTCACAAGTCTGAAATAACAAAATCCCAATTTCAAAAATGAAAAATGTATGCTTGGTTGCATAACTTAGACCATGCATTTTTGGTTGCCTGCACTAAATACGTTTTCAATTTTTATTTTATGTTACCTGTCTTGAGCCGTGTCTCTGCACAACTCCACATTCTTCCTATGCGTTCTGGCTTCGAGCCTCGTGTGAGCCACTTTCATCGGATTGCTTTTATCCATAATTGCCTTTTTCAACAATTCGATGTTTTTCTCGACATCGAAAACTTCTTGTTGAATTTTATGCAAATGCATTTGCAGTTTACTCTTTGCTTCCAATGTTTCAGCAGCCCTTCTTGCTAAAGCATTATTCGTGTTGCTCCAAGCGTCCCAAATTTGGGTGGCAACAGTGTTTATTAAATTGTCAATATCGGAACGCAATTGAGCCGATTTGCCCCTTTCCGACTGTGACCTTTGAACGATTCGGTTACTGTTCTCGGCCCACGTTTGAACCGTTGAAACCCTAAATAACAAAAAATAAATATTTTAAATCAACTTTTGGAGAAAAAAAATACGTAGGGTCGTATTTCTCAATCCCTCCGTAGTAATTGATTCCTTTGGAGAAATTATTGAGTTGGTGGCACATATTGTCGATCCCTAGAGCCCCTTCTTTGCTCCTGACGTCAGTCTCGAGTTCATGCTGAGCCGCTCTGTTGTTCCTGAGCTGGTCTTTGATCCGTTCGTAGAGACATTTGAGCTGTTCCTGAGAATTTCTATACACTTCGATTTCCTTCAAAAGGGAGTGTTCGGCGTTATCGTGAACGAGATCAATCCCTTGTCGGTTTTCCCGCTGGTAGAGACACTCCTGAGCGATGTGGAGGGGCCCCTCAATGTCCGAAATAGCCTTTTCTAAGGACCTGCGCGACTCTTGAAGCAAATCGCTCTCAGTTAGTAGTCTCTCGAGCTCAGTTCGGGCCTCATTGCGCCAAAAGGTCAAATCGGTGATTCTTTCGCCGAGTCTTCGGCCCACCTCGCGCTGCCCTTGAGCCGTTTTCTCATCAGTTTCTCTGAAAAATGCACAAATAGAAACCAATTGATTTTTTTGACGAGGGCCACCTCATAACTCGGATAAATTCGCCTCTGAGCCGTTCCGAATAATTCCGATTTGTGTCCGACTCGCCGTAGTTGCGCAAATTATTATGCGTCCACTCTATGGGGGTGTATCTGGTGTAGAGTGCGGCCCTGGCTGCATGGGCCGGATTTCGCTCAAATCCGGTCACCAAATTCGGGAATTTCAACGGCTCTGTCGCCATACCGTGGGGGGTATAGCAGGGATCGATGAGGGCGTTAGTGACCGGCTGACTCGGCCTACAATTACAAATTGAGTTTTTTCAATTTGAAATCTGGGGGCTTACAATGGGGTGACTTCGACGTTTTCGTAACCCAGAGTTGGTCTCCAAGGGTGAGGCCGTGGGGTCTGGTAATACTGACCGATGCGGACCGGCACTGGGGGCCCCGCGACTTGCTCCATGCAAGGATCCGCCCCCACGGTGCTCCATGGTTGGAGTTGCTACAAAAGTGGATTAAAATCGCTCATTTCGCACGCCAACCGCTTACTGAATATAACACTGTCTCGTTTTTTGTCGCCATTCATCTAATTATCAACAAAAACATTGAAAAAAGGGAAATAATTTTGACTTTTCACGTCAACAAAACATTTGAATCGAGTTCGGGTTTTTCATCGACGTTGGCGACACTGCCGCAGCAAATAAAAACGTGAATTTTGCACGTTTACCGCGAACGAAATGTAAAACACTGTTGTTTCTTGTCGCTATTCACGTAATTATTAACAAAAACATTAAAAAAAAAGGAAATAATGTGGTTTTTTTACGTCAAACAAAGATTTGAATCAAGTTGGGGTTTTTCAACGTAGTTGGCAACGCTGCCACATAAAAAACTTTTAACTTTGCACATTAACGATGAACTGAAATATAACGTTATTTGTCTTGTTTTTTGTCTCCACTTATCTAATTATTAACAAGAACATTGAAAAAAAAAATAACAATTTGGATTTTTTACGCCAAACAAAACGTTTAAATCGAGTTGGGGTTTTTCATCGTCGTTGGCAACCCCGGTACAGTCAATAAAAGGAAATGTCAAGCTGTTAACCTTTCAATTTCTGATAAAATTTGCCGTTTTCGTGTTTTTCAAGTGATAAGAATGGCGACAACGGTTGAAAAAGCTGCAAGTGTGCCAGAGCGTGAGTTTAGTGTGTCGTTTTTGTGCTGTCACTTAATTTTTTTTTTGTGGGGGTAGATTGTCCAGGGACTGAGAGCGCCGATGCCGGTAAAGCCTCAGCTTGTGCGGGGTGCCCCAATCAGCAGATTTGTGCTTCGGGGCCTAAGGGGCCCGACCCGGGGATTCAACTAGTGAAGGAGCGACTCGAGCAAGTCAGGAATAAAATTCTAATTTTGTCGGGGAAAGGGGGCGTGGGGAAGAGCACCGTCACGGCTTTGCTTGGCAGGAGTTTGGCCGCCGCTGATAAGGAACGCAATGTAAGGGTGCAAAAAGTGCATTTTTACAGTTTTTGACTCACTCGGTTGTAACGACTGCGTCGCGTTTCAGGGTATCCGAAGATCATTTTTGGGGTAGTTTTTCGCTTTGTGCGTGTTTTTGTGTCAAAGGGAGGCGAGTTATGCACTCTATCTTTGGCACAGGGCAAAGTTGAATGCCTTGTACCAGGCCGTACCTGGCATTGCGCCCTATTTCGCCCAGAATGCAATTTGCATATTTTAAAACGTTTGTCAATTAAAAAAATCTGTTTTTAATTGAGCAACGATGTTTTTCGTCGTTTCAATGTTTACATAAATAAATTGAACTCTTTGTTTGTCATGATTACACGACCGCATTATCAAGTAAAAATTCTAATAATATCTTTTTGTATGCAAACATCCATTGTATGAAATCACAAACAAATATTTTTTTCGCACTTTGTCCTGTTTACAGGATTCCCTCATTCGTTATCAGTGACTTTTGGCCAACCTTGAGACAACATAAATTAAATATCCTCAATTGTTATCAAATTTAATTGTAATTTTTTAGGTGGCTGTTTTGGACATTGATATCTGCGGCCCCTCGCAGCCCCGTGTCCTGGGGGCCCTCAACGAGCAAGTGCACCAGTCGGGCTCCGGTTGGTCCCCCGTGGTACGCCTCTGACCTAATCAATCTAATCAATCGATTGACCCATTTTTCCAGTACGTCGATGACAATTTATCGGTGATGTCAATCGGCTTCCTATTGTCGTCCCCCGACGATGCTGTCATCTGGCGGGGCCCCAAAAAGAACGGCATGATCCGTCAATTTCTCAGTGAGGTCGATTGGGGCAACCTTGATTACCTCCTAATGGACACGCCCCCCGGCACTTCCGATGAGCATCTCTCAGCGTCGACTTACTTGTCTCAAGCGGGGCTCACGGGGGCCGTGATTGTGACAACGCCGCAAGAAGTCGCGCTGTTGGATGTCCGCAAAGAGATCGATTTTTGCAGGAAAGTCAATATCAAGATTTTAGGGGTTGTGGAAAATATGTCGATTTTTGTTTGTCCATGTTGCAAGGTTTGTGTGAGGGTTGTAAGGAATTGGGGTTGATGGGGTTGTTGTAGAGGTTGTCCGAGATTTTCCCAGCGACCACAGGTGGGGCAAAGAAAATGTGCGAGGAAATGAAGGTCCCGTTTTTGGGGAGTTTGCCCCTAGATCCCGTCATTGCGAGGTATTGTGATGAGGGGAGGGACTTTGTGGGGGATTTACCGAATTCGCCGGCGGTGGAGGCATTAAATGGAATTGTTACAAGTAAGGGATATTTGTTTTTGGGAGACGGAGTTATTGGGGTGTTCTAGGGCTTGTGGAAATTTGTGACTCAAACGAGGAGTAATTTGAAGGTCGAAAAACAGTTCAGCGAAAGTTTATTGTACGTTTTAAGAATTTTAATAAAGTTTATTTTTTAAAAATAGAATTTTATTGTTACTTTGGAAAAAATGACATAGGTACATATGCAACTAATTATACAACCGGTACGTGAAAAATCACAGCGGACCTGTTCAGTCTTGGTTATACTTTACATATTGAATAAAATAAAGAAAATAAACTCTAAACAACCCCTAACCTTTTTAAAAAGTAAGCCTTTTGTATTTGTCACAATTATTATAAATAAAATTATGGTTTATTTAAAAAAAAAAATGTGATAATGGCCTACGGTAAATTAGGTAGGTACAGTTGGAGACAAAATACTTTGGTCGTCAATGTCACTTGAGTGACATTACATTGTAAAGCATGCTTTAGGACTGTTAACCTTATTTTTAGCTACTGTCAATCATAGTTGACAAGATTTACACATTTTTGATAGAAAGATATAATAGCTGTCATTAATTGGAAATTGTCATTCATTAAAGCTTGAATTACATTAAAGTGTCAGAAAAGTGACGACCAAAGTATTTTGTCTCCAACTGTACCTACCTAATCTTCTTGCCGTTGAACTCTTCTCAGGGCTGGATTTTGCTCACATTTTTTTATTTTATTGAGTTATTAAGGCCCTTTTAACTTGCAACAATAAAAAAGTGGCACATCGTTGATAAATAACAAATAATCAAAATAAAAACCCTCAAAGTTTATACAAAATCAAACTTTCCAACCCCTTACCAGGGCTCGATTTTTTTTAAACCTTGTAGAGTTTTTAATGCCCTTTCAACCTGTAGTAATAAGAAAGTGGCACATTGGCGATAACATGTAGAAAAAAAATAAAAATCCTTAAAATTCATAAAAAATCAAACTTTCCAACCCCTTCCCAGTGCCCGATTTTTTCAAACTCACAAGGTATAATACCTTGTAGAGTTTTTAATGCCCTTTCAATCTGTGGTACTAAGAAAGTGGCACATCGCTGATCAAAAATATGTTTTTAAAATTATTCGAAACCAAAAATTTCATTCCGATCCTAGCGACTTAATTTATTAAAATTTAAATCATTTATTTTATTCTTCGACACTGTCAAAATTTGCGGTTTTTCTCCCGTGTAAGGAAGTTTTGACAACTGTTTGGCATTTCTCAATACAAAACGTCAAATTATTTTTAACAGATTTAAAGCAAGTTTAAGCCTTGTTGACTCTAATTCGAAGAGTAAAATGTTGTATTCCACTCGTTTGAGTGTAAATCGGACGCTTTATTCCACCTCGTGGTTTAAAAATCCACTCGGTCAAATAAAGAGTCCGATTTACACTCAAACTCGTCGAATAAATAACTATAAAATTGTGTGAATACTTTTAGTTCAAAATGCAAAACTTTGCCGCGTCACAGATTCAGCCAATCAGCAGACGTAAAAAAAAACAAACACAATCCATCTTTTTTAAATTTATTAGTTGATGTCAGACAAGTCAGTACAAGAAGTTGCTCTAAGAATAAGACCACTCGTCCCTTCTGAGATCTCAAAAGGCTGCAAAAATGTGTTTGAAGTGTTATCCCAGGATTAATCAAGTAAAAATCAAGAACACGGACAAGGCCTTCACTTATAATTACGTTTTTGATCCAACTACGACCCAAGACTATGTTTATGAAACCTGTGTTAAACCCATGATTGAGAATCTTTTTAACGGTTATAACGTAACAGTATTACTATACGGCCAGACTGTATCTGGAAAAACACACACAATGAGAACAACATTCAATGGGGAAGGCGAAATGGGAGTGATTCCTAGGGCAGTCACTGAAACTTTTTATTGTGTGAGAGAGCCTATTTTCTCGTTTTTTCCCGAATTTTTCGCTTCTTGAGTGGCACTATATGACTTGTTAGCTGAGAAAAGTCGAGAACAGTGCGTTCTTGACATTAGAGAAGACGCAAATAAAGGAATTGTGATCCCAGGATTAACTCAAGTGCATGTTGACTGCACCCAAAGTGTTTTAGAAGCCTTAACGCCAGGATCCAGTAGTCGAGCTACAGGGGCCACCAATATGAATGCACAGAGCTCTAGGAGTCACGCAAGTTTTTCCATAAACATGACCATGATCAACAAAAATGACGGGTAAGTTGAAGACTGGGCGTTCTATCGAGCGATCAAGATAATTTGTAATCGAGTCATCTTTGAATCTGAAAACGTATAATCCATTTCATTGAAATTGGCATAACAGTAGGCCATGATTGTGTAAACCGCGCTTTAAATGTGAAAAAGGCTTTACATATTAAGGAACTAAATTTGTCACTATAAAAAGTGAGGTTAAGATAGTTAAAATTTTATTTTTAAAGAACCCTTTTTCAGAAGTTTTCAGAGAGTTTTTTCGATAAAAAGTTTAACATCCTGTTTCATCCCTTTGTAGGTGTAGTTTTAACACTAAAAACATACACTATTTGATTTGTAGAAAATACAGACTTCGTTGATAAGTGGCTTCCAGAAATTTTAAAAGACGTTTTATTCACACCGGAGATAAAACACAATTTGTTTTCCGTGTAAGTTGCATCCGAAAGGGGTTTGGATTTTGTCATTAAAAATGTAGGACAAAATTTTGAATTTTTAAACAATGGTAAAGTTGTTGCGATCGGAGGGGAAAAAAGAAATCTGTACAAAATGAAGCTTCGCGTACTGCAGCCTGAAAAATGGTGTTTTGCCCTGGATAAAGTAATTTGGCTTAATTCAAATTGGTATAGTTGATTCCATTAACCTAAAATTCCTAAAACAGGAATAACAAAAAGAAGTTCATTATGTTTTCAAACATACCTTAGCGAGTACTTTAAATCTGAAGAGAACTAGTTTTAATTAAAATTTGAAAAAGTAGTGGGAATAACGAACAAACAACGAAAACACTGAAAAAACGAATACAAATGTCAGTCATGTCAGTTCAATAAACCATGTAGGTAAGTAATCAAAGAAAAACAAAAACCCCATCAGCTGTTATAACAGGAACATGTGCAGGGCTACAAACTTAAATACGAAATTCCATAGCCACCTATTATGCCAATTTAAATGAAATCTACTTTACACTATATTTCTCTGGATAGTAGAATTCTCAAGGTCACAATTTACGAGTGTACTCAACTTTTATGCACAACGAAGTAACCTTGACAAATACACTGATCACTTTTGACAGCATTTAGACATTTATTGACAATCCACGAACAGCTGGTGTTTTAATTAGTAAATCTTGAGTTTATTTATTTAAATTGATTTTAATGTGCTCGTTAACGGAAACCGAAGGGACTACAATACATACTATTTGATTTGGATATTTAAAATAACCCAAAACATGAGTGTTTGAATAGTATTTGAACGAGTTTTATGGAGCTCCAATTTTGGTTAAATCACTCAAAGGTATATGAAAAATACTTTTATTTTCAATTTACTCATAAAAGGTAATTGCAAATCTATCAGATATAATCAACTCAGATAGAAGCATCTGCACGCAAAGTCATAGAATCTGGAAATTTTATCCAACAATATTTGTTCTTGCTCAAAAAAAAAAAAAAAAAAGAAAGGATCAACTTGGGTTTGCTTCCCCCTAGATAGGCCTGCTTATCGTCACAATAAAGAATTATGCTAATCCTCCAACATACCAACACCAAAACACGTTGTATCACAAACTCCTATCACTGAAGCACAAAACTAAATTTGTGATGGTTAACTATTAGTCCTTAACAAACCTTTGAAATTTACCAAAAGGTAATAAAACAATCTTGTTATCCAGTATAATTTCAAATATCTACGAAATATTTGGAGGGTTTTCCGATTTTTAGTTAATCAACTAAACCACTGCACCACTAAAAGTTTCCTTGAGGCAACTGCGTTTCAGTTGGGAACAATAATATGTGAGGCACATTACCCTTGTACAAGGTGCAAGGTATGTTTCATAACAATTTTGTTAATTAAAACTATGGGTGTAGCTAAAATGTTTGTTATTATCAATAACGATCTTTGATTTATTAAGAAGAACAACCTTTTGTGCAACATTCAAAAGTTTTATTTGTAAATTGATAACTGCCACAAACACCATGGACATGATTAACAGATTCTAGCAAGAAGATGCTTTTCTTCTTACAAATCTTTCATATCAGACGTTCGATCAACGTTTTGAACAAAATTCTTGGACTTGGGTTTGGTGTCCCAACTTTTAATTTGATCGACACTTTTTTATCGGAGGTAATCGGAGTTATTCACTGATGTTTCATCCAAAAACAAGCTTCGGCTGTTGAATGTTCTGAATAAAGCACGCGATTGTACCTTAAAATTTTATTAAATCCCAAGACCATCGTACATAACCTTTAATTTCAATGTGACAGAAAAAACATCATTGCCACCTTTAAAAAATAAAATCGAAAATCATGGCTACGAGAGTCAACACAACTTTGGTAAAACCGCTAAAAACCCTGTTTATCAAATTCTACTATCAACTGAAATAGTATACTCTTTTTCATATTAATGTGCATCAAGTAGGTTGTAGAATTCTAAATGCATCTTTAATTTAAAGGTCGATTCACACAAATAGTGTCATTAATGTTATTCAGAACAACTTTAATCAATAATGACAAAAATCTTTGTTTGCCACCCTATGCTAATTACGTTGTTAGCTTTGATTATTTTTTGCTTTCTCAAAAACTGGGGTACACATTTTTAGGGCGGATTGAGGTTAAGATTGTTTGAATTTTCGCATGGTCGCCAACTTAAAATGATCCCTTTCAACGACTACTTTGATGCACATTAATATGAAAACGACTATAAAGTCTTTTTTTAATGGAAATTACCAAGTCAAAATTTTGGTGAAAAAATTGGTAGCAGCTTGTCTCCATAGCCACAAATTTTGTTTGCTCTTTGTTTTTGTCCCTAGAAATTTTGTTAAAAAATTATGGTTATACTCTTTTTCATATTAAAGTGCATCAAGTAGGTTGTAGAAGTCTACATGCATTTTTAACTTAAAGGCCGATTCACACAAAAAGTGTTATTAATGTCATTCAGAACAAATTTAATCACCTCAATAATGACAAAAATCTTTATGTTTGCTTCCCTATGTTAATTACGTTGTTAATTTTAATTATTTTTTGCCACCTGGGGTACACATTCAAAAACAGACATACGTTTTCGGATGCAGAGGACTCGATTACAAATTATCTTCATCGCTCGATATTTGATCTAGGCGTTTTATTTGATTCGGAGCTTTCTTTTACAGAACATTAATTCTACATCAAAATTTTGGGTTTTATATTACGCAACTGTAAACAATTTAATAATATTGTAACTTTGAAAATTGCAGATCAAAACTAAAATATTGTTCTCTTATATGGAATCTTGTCTGTGAAACCCATAAACTAATTCTTGAAAACATACAGAAAAAGTTTCTTAAATATCTTTGCTTTAAAACTAAAGCAATTGTGCTTAGAGGTTTTTCATATGAGATATTTCAATTATTACATTCAGAATGACTTTGAATTTAGGTTGATATCAAGGAAAAAGATGAGTTTTACTTTTACTGCAAAGATCGATAATTAGTGTAATGAAATTTCTCGTTTAATAAATTGTTTTTTTCAGCAATGAGAAGTCTGCAAAGTTCCATTTGGTCGATTTGGCTGGTTCAGAAAGACCCAAGAAGACGGGAGCTGTTGGGACAACGTTTAAAGAAGGCGTTAATATAAACAAGGGTCTTTTAGTGTTAGACAACGTGATTTCGGCTTTAGCTGATGAAAAACAACAACACGGTTATATCTCTTACAGCAAGACAGTAATTTAACTTGGGGTAATTCTTTGGGGGCCAACAGCATAACACTGTTGATTGCCTGTGTTAGTCTCGCTGATTACAACATAGAAGACCCGAAAGCAGCTGATATCAACTTACTGAAAAAAACTATACAAGACTTAAGATTGCAAATTGTGGGTCAGGGAGGACCTGCCGTTTTTTCCAATGAAATTATCAGTTTGAGGTAAGAAAACGTCCAGTTGCAAACAAAAATTCGAGATCTCACTGTGCAGCTGTCAACTTTACACGAAAACACCGGTCTTTTGGAAAAATTAATTATACTGCAAAATGCGAATGAAAATCTCCATAAAAATATGATCTCACACTTGACAATATCATTTGAGTTTCAATCAGAATAATACAGACGGTTTTAAGAAGAATTTGGATAAGTTGCAACGAATTCATGGTGCTTGATTCTGAACAGAAGAAAACCGAAGACGAAATTCTCCACCACGAGCGAAATATCGACATTCGTGAAAGCCAAGACGACAAATTTAAAAATATAGATGAAGTGAGTAAGGATCAAGAAAATTACACCAAACAACAAATGGCTCCAAACTACAAGAGTTTACTAAGCAATTAGCAATGAAGGAGCACTTGGCCCGACAAATTTCCACAAACATTCAGTATTTAGTCGATTACGAAGGCTTGAAGGAGAAAGAAAATAAAATTCTTCAACTGCAGAAAGAAAAACACGAATTGATGCAACAATTAAGATAGAAGAAAACGAGTCCAAGCATTAGAGAATCAGTTACAATAATTGAACCGAAAAGTCCAAGAACAGGCCCGCTTGAAAAAGAAAGAAAAGGATGTGAGTAAAATCAACCAATTAAACAGCGAAATTCAGTTAATGAGTGAAATTGATCCGTAAAATGCGCGAAGAATCTGAGCGATGCCGGACCTGGAAAATTCAAAGAGAGCGCGAACTCGCAAAATTCAAACAAGAAGAGCGCAAAAAACAAACCAAAATCATCCGAATGGAAGCCATGCATAGTAAGCAACAAAATGTCCTCAAGAGAAAAGTGCGTTGCCGAAAGCCTCTCAAGAAGCGAAAAATTCGGGAAAAAACGAGAAAATAGGCTCTCTCACACAATTAAAAATTTCAGTGATTGCCCTAGGAATCACTCCCATTTCGCCTTCCCCATTAAATGTTGTTCCCATTGTGTGTGTTTTTCCAGAGCCAGTCTGACCGTATGCTAACACTGTTTGTTATAACCGTTAAAAAGATTCTCAAGCACGGGTTTAACGCAGTTTTCATAAATATAAGCTTGGGTTGTAGTTGGATCAAAAACATAGTTGTAAGTGAAGGCCTTGTCTGTGTCCCTGATATTTACTTGATTAATGGTGGGATAAACTTCAAACACATTTTTGCAGACTTTCGAAATCTCAGAAGGGACGAGTGGTCTTATTCTTAGAGCAACTTGTTGTATAGATTTGTCAACAAGAAATTACTTTCTAAGAAAATTACGTTTTTCATGTTGTTTGTATACTGACTTGTCTGACATCTAATAAATGAAAAATGTATTTTAAAACAGAAGGATTGTGTTTTTTTTTCCGTCTGCTGATTGGCTGAATCTGGGAAGGGGTTGTAAAGTTTGATTTTTTATGAATTTTAAAGATTTTTATTTTTTTTCTACATGTTATCAACAATGTGCAACTGTCTTAGTACCACAGATTGAAAGGGCATTAAAAACTCTACAAGGTATAAGAGTTTGAAAAAAATCGAGTCCTGGGAAGAGGTTGCCAAGTTTGATTTTTTGTGAACTTTGAGAGTTTTTATTTTGTTTTATTTGTTATCAAGGATGTGCCACTTTTTTATTGTTGCAAGTTAAAAGGGCATTAATAACTCTATAAAATAAAAAATTGTGAGCAAAATCCAGCCCTGGGAAGAGTTCTACGGCAAGAAGATTAGATATTTACCGTAGGCCATTATTACATTTTTTTTTAAATAAACCATAATTTTATTTATAATAATTGTGACAAATACAAAATGCCTACTTTTTAAAAAGGCTAGGGGTGGTTTAGAGTTTATTTTCTTTATTTTATTCAATATGTAAAGGATAACCAAGACTGAACTGGTCCGCTGTGATTTTATACTTGCTATCTTCACCGAGCTACGTAATGGTTGCCAACTGTATTGATAATTGTCAACTGAAAGTGAGGTTATGAGTGAACAACAAATCAAATAAAATTTGTTAAATCAACAGAAAATCGTAATCAGTGTGCGAGGGTGATAAACTTGACTTCCCCGTTTTATCACAGGATGTAACGTTCCTGTTTCAATGTAATTGTGTGAAAAAATGACGCGAATTCGCTACTTGCTGCAATCATTTCGGGCTCGGCGTAATCGCCACTTATCACGCACCGATTCCGTGTCTTTTGAAGCCTTTTGCAACGAAATTCCTCAACGGAAATGCCCGACAACCAAAGAATCGTCCTTGAACGGCGACTTTAACACCTCTCCGCTCAAAAGAGAACTCCCGGTAAGTCCAAAAACGCCCCCCAAGAAAAATAAATAACTCCTACCTTCGTCAAGGATGAAGACTACGTCCGCTTCGCCCCACAGAACTGCGAATCCACCACTTGCTCCCGTCCTAGTCTGCCAGCAATCCTGCTGGTGCTCATGCTTCTGGCTGTGTTTTTAGTCCTTCCCTTGGTATATTTGTTACACTGTTTCGGAGTTATTTACACTCAAGAGCGCTACGAACACCCCACTTTACTCGAAAAAATCCACCATACGCACAAACCAAGCCAAATCAAAGTTCCTACAGCTCTGCCGCCGCCCCCGAAACCGGATTATGGCAAGTGCAAACTGGTCCAGGAGCGGGACCGGTTCGATTGCTACCCCGAGAATGGGGCCAATCAGCAGGGGTGCGAGAGCAGGGGCTGTTGTTGGATCCCGGCGAAAAAGAAGCCGAAAATGGGGGTGCCCCTAGCCACCCCCTACTGTTTCTATCCCTCCAATTACGCGACTTATAATTATGTAAATGTGACGCAGACGGCCTACGGTCTGGAGGCGTTCTTGAAACGGGGCTTTGCGACGGCCTATCCAGGAGATGTGGAAGTAATCAAACTCAGTGCTAAATTTGAGACAGACACGAGATTGCACATTAAAGTAAAAATTTCGATTAGAACCAACAAATATTTTAATTTTCTTCAAAGATTACAGATCCGTTGAAAAACAGGTTTGAGCCTCCGTTTCCAGAAGTTCCTATTGTCGATAAAGCGGCCATGAATTTGACTTACTTGTTTTATATTGACTCAACCAAGCCCGGGTTTAGGGTGGTAAGACGATCAGATAATACCATAATGTTAGTTTTTCTTGAAACTATGCAAAAAATTAATTGTTTCGTTCCAGTTTTGACGCATTAAATTTACCGAATTTAATTTTTTCTGATCAGTTTTTACAACTGAGCGGTAAATTACCTTCTAGTTACATTTACGGGATGGGAGAACATCGCAGTCGTTTGTTATTATCGACCCAATGGTCACGATTTACGTTATTCAACCATGACACAATTCCCTCTTTTGATGTAAGTTTTTATGGTGCAAAAAACAAAACTGATAATTCTTTCTTAGAAAAATTTATACGGTAGTCACCCCTTCTACCTAATAATGGAGAACTCGACTAAAAGCCACGGTTTTTACCTCCAAAACTCCAATGCTATGGGTAAGCCCCGCTTTTCACCTCCAACGTGTCACATTTTCATTTGCAGACGTTATACTGCAACCCACACCTGCAGTAACATTCCGACCAATCGGCGGCGTTCTAGACTTTTATTTTTTCCTCGGCCCCACCCCCACCGACGTGATTAGCCAATACACGGATTTGATTGGACGTCCGTTCATGCCGCCATATTGGGGGTTGGGCTTCCATTTATGTCGGTTCGGTTACAAAACCCTGAACCGAACTAGACTTGTCATGCAACGTAACATCGATGCTGGGATTCCATTGGTGGGTTTCGTGGTACAGTCGAGGGCAAAAGTAATGCCAGTTTTAGGACACGCAATGGAACGATTTGGACTACATGAAAAGTAGTAACGATTTTACTTACGATTCGGTCAATTTCAAAGGTTTGCCTCAGTTCGTTAAAGATTTACATTTGAAAGGGATGCATTATATTCCGTTGATTGATGCGGGGGTGAGTGGGAGTGAGCCCCCCGGGGCGTACCCCCCGTTTGACGAAGGGCTCAAAATGGACATTTTTGTTAAAAATTCAACCGGGCAGATATTTATCGGAAAAGTCTGGAATAATAAAAGTACAGTTTGGCCCGATTTTACACACCCCACAACAGTGGATTATTGGACAATGATGTTGAAATCCCTCCATGATGTTGTCCCCTTCGATGGAGCCTGGATTGACATGAACGAGCCGTCGAATTTCCTCTCGGGATCGTTTAACGGGTGCCCCAAGACCAGTCTAGACAGCCCCCCGTATTTGCCAAATGTCGATGGTGGCGCCCTCAACTACAAAACCATGTGCATGTCGGCGAAACACTACGCCGGTTTACACTACAACGTCCACAATTTATTCGGTTTTACTGAGGCAATTGTTACAAGTTTGTGAGTATTGCACTCGTGTGTTAACCGGTGATTAATAAGGCTCGGATTATATGCACGAAAATTTTGTAAAATATGCGCATATATATGCACGTATTTTTACAAAAATATGCACTATACAGGCTGCCCCAGAACTCGTGCCCCAGAGAAAAATTTCAAATAAGATAGGATAACAGGAACATGGAAAAAATGTTTAAAAAATTCTAACTGTCAAAAAAATTTGACATTTATTTTTTGACATTTTACATTTTTTATGTCTATTTAATGATACTGATGATCTTGTATATGTTTTTTAATAATTATTTAGTAAAGCTACAAAAATTTTGCCAATAAAAGCCACAAATAACATTAAACAGAGTTACAATTCAGGATACAGCTTCCTTGTTTCCTCTTTTAAAAGCCTGTAGCAAAAAAACTTGGAAAATTATTTTTCCAACAGAAATATACAGGGTGATGAAAAAAAAGGCGCCCACGATTGAAACAGGCGCGTCCTTTTTTATTGAAACATTGTGACCATCATTCCAAAAATAGTCTAAATAGATTCTTTTTAAAATTTAAACAGTTTGTCTAACAGCACAAAGCGGCAATATTGCACAAATTTCTTTTACTAAAAAACTATTTCACTCAGGTATTTTTCGTATCTAGGAAACCTTTTTGATTTTAATCGTTCAAATTTCACAGAACAAACATTGAAAATTGTTTTTTTTTTTTTGCTACCGTTTCCAATAATTGAACATTACTTGGATATTTTCTGTATCCTAGGATATTTGCAATGTTGCAACATTGATAAATTTTCTTTGGAGCCAAGAAATGGTATCCAAACATCTTCAATAAAGTTTATTTCAATAGACTTTCTACACATTTTTTTTAAGAACACCGTCAACAGTATCAAAATCTAGACTTTAACAATGAAATTATTTTAAAACTGTTAATTATATGGATTTCTTTTTTCTAAAAAGGAAAGTCTATATCTTACTGATAAGAGCACAAATACAATTTTGGTCTTCGAATTCGTCTTTAATAAAAGATCACTTATAACGTGTGGGTTAACACGGGCGCCTTTTGTTCATCATATAGTCAAAGTGCAAAACTTAAACTTTCATAACTTCGTAATTTTTATAGATAGAATTTTTTTAACATTTTTTACATGTTCCTGGTATCTTACCTTACAACCTTACACGGCATTTTTCTCTGGCGCGCGAGTTCTGGCGCACCCTGTATATTAAGAAATATGCTCTAATATATGCCAAATATGCATCGATATGCAAAACTTTTAACAATAAAAAATCTAAGTTGGGATAAATTTTTATCCTCGAGTACACTAAACTTTGTATTTTCGGCATCTTGAACTGCATACGATAAACGAAAGAGAATAAATAAATTGGTTTTGCGTCAGACAAACCATTTTAACAACCTAGTAATTAAGCCTTTCTAAGAAATCTGTACTTTTCAGATCAGATCACTAACAATTTCGCTAAAATTCATCTGCAGGCAAAGATAATAGCCATACCAGATGAATAAAAAGTATAAAATCAAACGTTCTTTGCTTCAACTATTTATTTTTTTGGAAAAACTAATTGATGAATGATAAAGTAAATACTATAAAAATGTGGTGTTTTATCAAAAATATTTTTTTTTGAATTTTATTTTTATTTTTGAGTTGTGTAATCCGGCAGGTGGCATTGACGCAAACGTTAGGTTTGCTACTCGGATTTCCAACACTAAATTATTGCCTCTGATTATTGTCGTAAGGATGTTTTCCAGATAAGTGGGATACGGAAAGTCGTGTGATGTTCACATCAGATTTTTCTCTATAATCTAAAGATTACAACTAGATATCTACTTTATACTGAATTAAAAAAAAATACATAAATTGCAATATTGACAAAAAATTGCATAACTCAAAAACAGAACAAAACTTCATTTTCAAAATACGATCACATTTTTTATATTACTTTAATTTATATTAATTATTTTCTGGAGACAAATGATTTAAATAAAAATAGCTTGATTCCATAATTTATATCCATCCTGTATAAAACAAATTTAAAAAGGAAATACTCAGCAAGATACTAATTCTTTGAGTCGGGATTACGATTTATCGGTTGTTTTGTCTTTACCATATTTTATAATCGAAATATTTTTCTAAAACTGTCCAATTTTTAACTTGAACTGAAATTTTTAATCGAAAATTTGTGATTTCATCAAAATATGCACAAATATGCAATATTTCCTAAAATATGCACGAAGTTGCCAAAATATGCAAAACATGCATTTTTTATTTGGCTTATTTTAATCAAAAAACATCAGATAGAAAACATACATTTTGCATATAATCCGAGCCTTAGTGATTAATATTCTCGCAATTAGCGCCATGTCTGACATTCGGGGGCGCCGCCCTATGGTCATCTCCCGCTCGACTTTCGCCGGTCATGGCCACTACGCCGGTCATTGGAGCGGCGACGTCGTTTCTGATTGGCTAGACATGAGATACTCCATTCCACGTACGTCACAAACCAATCACGGCCCACTAACCCAATTATAGAATTGTTGAGTTTCAGCCTCTTTGGGGTGCCTTTAATGGGGGCTGACATCTGCGGCTTCAATGGCAACACGACTAGAGCTTTGTGTAATAGATGGACCCAACTGGGGGCTTTTTACCCGTTTTCACGTAACCACAACACCGACGATGGCATTGTATTTTTCACATTTTGTAAAACCACATTTTGTTACTTTTTTTTCCTAGGATCAGGATCCGGTCGCGATGGGCCCCGAAGTGGTCATGTCGGCCCGTAAAGCCCTCTCGATGCGCTACAAACTGCTCCCCTACTTGTACACTTTATTTTGGGCTGCGCACACTAGGGGCGACACCGTCGCCCGTCCCCTATTTTTCGAATTTCCCAACGACTTGAAGACTTACGATATCGATGCGCAGTTTTTATGGGGGCCCGCTTTGATGATTGTGCCCGTTTTGGAGGAGAATTCGACGCAAGTGGGGGCGTACTTGCCGGAAGGGGTGTGGTACGATGTTTATACTAAATCACCAATCGCTGGTCAAGGCCAAAGTGTCAATCTCTCGGCCCCCTTGGACACAATTCCGCTTTTATTAAGAGGGGGCTATATATTGCCGACGCAGGCCCCCGAACAGACCACAACTCGCTCGAGGTTAAACCGAATCGAGATTATAGCAGCCGGTGATGAACAAATGAACGCATTTGGGGAGTTTTATTGGGATGATGGGGATTCATTGAGTGGGTTTTTGAGGCCGATTCGTGATTGTTTTGATTGAGGAGGTTTTTCAGATGCCTACGAGGAGAAGCAATACACTTTGATTGAGTTTTGGATGGAGAGGGGGGTGTTAAAGAGCGAGAATATTCACTGGAGTGGGACGGAGAAGCCTCCCAATCTGGGGGCATTGACTATAGTTGGAGTCACTGATTCGGTCGAGGAAGTGTTGGTGAATAATGTGGCACAAGCTTTCCGTTACGACACTATTCATAAGGTACGAAAAAATTAAGATTTTGTGATGTAATTGATTTTTTTTTTCAGTATTTGTTGGTCGAAAATTTGAATGTCGAATTACAGAAACCTGTAGTCGTTACATGGAAGTAAATGTTACCAAAGAATTAAGCGTAGTGTTAGTCATTTTAAGGCTGTTTTTCAAATTGACTGAATTAATTTTTAATGTTAGGGTAGATTGCTTGATGTTAATCAACGTTTTTCTTTTCTCAAATAAATAAGAATACGGAGTTCATTTTTATTGTTTATTTTTAGAGTGGAAGAGGTTTGAAAACCGGCCCATAACATTAAAAACCATACGTTTAGAAAATATAATTAACACTTAGATAAGTGGTGGTATAATAAAATTTTGTTTCTTTTTAATGATTAGTAAATATAATATGGCACTCGACTGGCAAATGCTTGAAGGAACATTAAAAAACTCCTAACTAAATTGAACCACCACGTCGATATATTTTTATATAAACATCACACCACAAAATTAGTTTAGACAGTTTATACAATTGTGATGCCAAACTCAAAATTGCCACGAAAAGTATTGCACTTAGAAGCTATGACACGAATTGGTGCAGTCGGTAGGCCCGACCAAAACAAAACTTAAAAATTACAACAAAAAATTCTTTGGTCTTAAATAAAATTAAAAAAAAACAAATAAAGCTAAATGTATCCTGTACAACCTTTTGGTTTCTCCCTTTGGTATGTGAGTGCTTCTTAAAGCTGATTTTTGTACTTTTCACACTTTGGGCAAGAACGGTATACCAAAAAGCGCAACAGTCATGAAAAAAATTTTCGGGTACTTGCAACAGTCAGTAAGCTACCTACTAGTCTACAATATTGTACTAACTCTTTGATTACGAAGTCAATTCTTCTAAAAGCTCCTCGGTCGATCTTTGTTCGTTTTTAAACTTCTCCATGTATTGTTTGGGGACAGTCCACTCGAGGAGAATCTCGACGTTCTTTTTAAGTTTCTCCGCGACTGAAAGACTCGTATCTTTGCACGGCTCCCTCCCCGAGCTCTTTATCGAATCTACGAGGATGTCGTCGATGAGTCTCTTATTAAACCCGAGCTCTTCCAGTCTTTCCTGCGAGGAAATCTTCTTCAATAGTACGGCTAAAAGGAACCTCATTTTTTCCAAAGACATGGGTGGGTCAATCGTATTGATATCAATCTCGTTTTTTTGGTGGAGGTTATTGTAGTAGTCTTGACACTTGGCATAGTGACCATCGAGATCGTTTTTGGTTTGGTGGAAGCTCCGGCAGTGGCTACAAACATACGGTTTCGAACTCTTATGTATGCACAACATGTGCTTCTTCAGGTGTGGCAACTGTGAAAACGAAACATTCTCACACAGGACACACACGAAGGGTTTTTCCCCCGTATGTCGTCTGATGTGGAGTTTGAGTGCAGTCGAATGGGCGAAAGCCTTCCAGCAGACTTGACACCGATAGGGCTTCTCCCCCGAGTGGATTCTCTGATGAACAGTCAACTGCGACCTTTGCGCAAATCGGGCCCCACAATGGGCGCACCCATGAGGCTTATCCTTCTTATGCACTCTCATGTGTTGGGGTAAGTGCCCTTTCAACTGTTTATTACAGATTTTGCAATGGAAGGCTTTCAGATTGCCGTGGTAGCAAGTGAGATGTTTCTTTAAGGCGTCTCTTCTGTAGAATTTCTTCCCACAGATGTCGCACACGTAGTCTCTAATCTCCAAATGGCCTTTAATGTGCAATTTCAGATTGGCTGAACACGTGAACGCCGACGAGCAAATATCGCATGTGTAGGGCTTCACTCCAGTGTGCGTCCGCATGTGCTGGACCAATTGCCCCCCTCTCGCGAACGTCTTGGGGCAGATGCGACACTGGTAGGGCTTCACCCCCGTGTGGATGCGAATGTGGAGTCTCAAACGCTCCTTCACCGGAAACTCCTTGTTGCAATAGTTGCAAACGTAGGTTTGCAGGGTTGGCAGCCCTAGAGAGTGTTTGGCCGCCACGTGATTTTTGAGGGAGCCGGCCTGCCGGAAGCCCTGATTGCATTCTTTGCACACGTACGGCCGCTCGTCGGTGTGCACTCGCAGGTGCTTCTTGAGATCGTGTTTCGTGAGGAATTTTTTTTGGCAGACTGCGCATTCGTGCTTTCGCACTTTCTCTTTGGCGTGAGTCATTTATGGCTTTGTTTTTTGTGACTAGAATGTTAACATGCAAACCGGCACCGGGTGCGAGTTTATGTCCCAACCACCAAAGAAATATGTTAGAGTGATCTAAAGAGAGTCGGCGGGCGCCATCTCTGGACACGCCGAACCATCACCTCACCTGCAAGAAGGACCAACTCAACCGACGAGACTACGGCGGGAAAGGCCCCACTCCGCACGGCAGAGGGTTAGGAACAGTGTTGCCAGGTGTGGGGAAATTGAAAACTTTTCTAAAAATTCTGATAATTTTTTGGAAATGAAAAAAACTGTTTTCCGTGCATTTTCCAAGTTTTCAACCAGAAACTTGATTCCTTCGGCAAGTTTTTTCATAAAAGTCGAAAAAGCACCAAACTAAAAATAGTTCTCGTTTGATTTTTTACAAAATTTTACTACAGGACTGAAAATGACAATTCATTTTTGTCTTTTTCGAATACTTTTTCAGCTAAAAATATACAATTATATCGCAAAATTTCGTTAAAAACAATTCAATCAACCAAAAACGGCGTTATATTTGCCCATTTCAAGTGTTTAGCACGTTTTTGAGATTTAAACAAAGTAAATTCTAAAAATTTTGTTAAAACAGACAAAAAAATTACAAAATTAAATCGAAATTGATATTCTTTTTAGCTTGTGTCGCTCGACTTACTTCATTTGAACCAGAAGGCTCATTTATTTTGCAAAATCTTGTCCAAACACGCTTGAAAATCACAAAAACAGTTGATATTGATGTTATTTTGTTTGTTTCACTCGATTTAACTGCTTTTTGAACAAAATAAGACAGAAATAAGCACGTTTTTGTACTATAATTTCAGGTTTTCTTGCGAGATTTCGCTAAAACGAACTGAAAAACCAACATATTAAGTCGAAAATTACTTTAATTTTGCATTTTTTGAGAGTTTTAGTATGTTTTTCAGCTAGAAACGCAATTATTTCGAAAAATTGGTAAACAAGCCAAGAAAACACAAAATTAGGCCGAAAATGATATAATTTTTTCCTTTTTCGAGAGTTCAAGCATATTTTTAAGCTGAAAACTCTTGTTTTTTTCGCAAGAGTTTGCCACAGCGTCTCAAAAATCACTAAATTGTTATAATTATAAAAAAGTTATATTTTCACCTAACTCTAAGGCTTTAACTTGATTATTTTCAAATTTTCTCAAAGAAAAAATAATCGAAAACCACCAAATTCGTTAAAAATAGTTCTATTTCTTTTTTACAAGACATTACTTAAAAAGTCGAAAATGACAACTTATTTTAGTTTTTTTTAATGCTTTTTCAGCCAGAAACACAATTATTTTGCAAAATTTTGTCAAAAAGAAACTACAAATTCAACAAAAGAGCCCAAAAACGGCGTTTTTTGTCTTTGTTAAGAGTTTAAAGATGGTTTTGAGGGACAAAAACACAAAAAGTTAGAAAAATTATATTGAAACAGGCTTAAAATCTACAAAATTAAATCGAAATTGATATCATTTTTTAGCTTGTTTCGACCTATTTACTTTGTTTCTAGACCAGAGGTTCACTTATTTTGCAAAAATCTTGTACAAACACGCCTAAATATCACAAACAGAATTGATATTGATGTTATTTTAATTGTTTCACTCGATTTAACTGGTTTTTTGAGCAAAATAAAACAAAAATAAGCTTGATTGTACTACGATCTCAGGTTTTTCGCTAGATTTCGCTAAAACAAACTAAATAATCAAGAAATTAAGTCTAGAATTACATTTCTCGAGCGTTTTTTATTTAATAACACAAAATTTTGTTGAAAACAAGCCGAAAAATCACAGAATTGGGCCAAAAAGCATGTCATTTTTGCTTTTTTTCAAGAGTTTAAGCAGATTTTTAAGCTAAAAACTGCGTTTTTTCGCGATATTTTGCCACACAAATCGTAGTCTAGTGAAAATTTGGCAAATTTTTCTACTCGAGTCTGGTGAATTCTGTTTTTGCTCTGGCAACACCGGTTAGGAAGCAAAAAAGTGGAATGGTTAGGCGTGTGCTGGGGGGCCGACTCCATTTCGACTGACTACTCCCAAAAAATCAAAAGACAAGTATTAGATGAAATGGAGGCGGCCTTTTAGCCTCTGCCTGCATGGAGTCGGTCTTTCCAAGTTTGGGGGAAGTCAAGGAAACTTAGCAGTGCTGCCACTCCAGAAAAACTAAATTATGGGGTCAAGTGTCAGCAAGCCATTCGTTAACGGTTATGCGAATCTGGTTATTTTTCTACGAGTAATAAGAAAAAAGGGTGTTTTGTCTATGATCATGAGGTGCATATTTAATAAAATTTTCCCTGTAAAGAAAGGTTAAATTGAGAAGCAGTTGTCTTGGACGTATCCTGTTACATCCATTACGACTGTCCGCTAAAAATTTGGGTAAAAAGGGCCCCAATTGAAGGCCTTAATGCAACCTTACACTCGGGTTTGGGGTTTAGAAAAATTATCAACACTCTAACCGTTACTTAGTGTGGGTTAATTAAATAAAATAAAAACTCACCAGAAAACCGTGCATCTTGTTGGAAGTGTGGTGAATTAAAGCCAATTTGGATTTTAGTTTACCATTGTGATTGTAAGATGTTTTTTAATGTCAAAAACTAGTGTCAAATTTAAATTTCCCCAGATTTGTCACTAAACGCAAAGCGCCAAATTCAAACACATTCAAATCAGTTTTTATTGGAACAAACATTTAAAAAAAACATAGAAAACAATGCACAAAATTAAAACACATTTTGAACTTAACTAAATGGAATTTAAATTTTCTTAATGAGATCACCGTAATAGGCAGTAATTGAAACAAGATTTTTCTTCATGAAATTCTGCTCAATTTCAACTCCTCCACCCGGCGTAGTTTCGTCAATTAACTAAAAAAATATAAACACTCAAAATACCCTTCCCACTTGTAGTAAACTTACTAAAAAAGCGTTGCTATTTTTCGGTAAGAAAACAGCAATATTGCTGGTAATCACTCTACCAATTTCCAAAAGCTTGGAAATGGGAACAGGCAGTAACATCGACTCTAAATCGTAAACCACTTCGTTTTTGTAAGTCGGCCCGCCCCACGGAGGGCTAAAAAACACAACATCGGCTTTCAACGTAGGCGCTACATGGAAAAAATCCCCCACGATGAAATCAATCCTGTTTGCCACACCATAAACTTCGGCGTTATTTCGCGCCAATTCGATCTTTTTCGGATCGATATCTATTGCTATAACTGCAACAACCCAATTTCCATTTATTTTATCAAAAAAATGCCAGAAATAAACCTCGTTTGCACGTGAATGCAAATTGAATTGCGTTACCCCCAGCCCCGCAAAAGCCATCAACAATCAGGTCGCATTTACACCTCTGTGCAATATGTTTGGCGATTTGCTCGGGAGTCACCGAGTACCAACTCTCCTCATCCAGTTTAATGCCTTCGTCAAACTTGCTAAAAAGGTGAAACCTCCTATGCCAGTATTTCTTCAAATGAGTATTTTCCTTGATCTCCGGTGGCATGATAATCTTCTTCTTCCGTTTCTTCCTCTTTGGGACCACCGTTTCGTCCGGCTGCTCCTCAACTTTCGGCGGAGTCGTCACGAGTTCACTTGCGATTTCCTCATCAGCTGAACTTTGCTTATCGTCGGATGTGTCCAATAAAACGCCCTGAAAAGTTTGCTAAAAAAACAAATTAATAAATACAACACTCATAAATGATTTTTTCTACGTCTTCTTGTTCCACAACAGCACCGTCATCATCGAAATGAATGTGTTTGGGCCTTGGTACTTCATTTCGTAGTTTCAAGTGCCGATTTTGTAACCTAATGTGCTTCATTTTGTATTGGACTTGGCCCGCAATTGGGTTAGAATTGGTGTCTTGGAATTCGATCCCCATCAGATTAAAAGCTGCTTTGATTTTCTTGCGACATGACTCAAAATTAGTTATACCAATCGAACTAAAAATTTTTTTGTTATTTATGGTCAAAATTACAAAATAGCCCAGTCAAATTAGACAAATCGGTGGAAAAAAATCCTAGAAAGTTGTAATTTTTTTTAAACGCTTGACATATATCAAAAGTCTCCAAAGGTAGGGGGCGAGCTCAAAGAAGGGGAGGGGGTTAAAAGTGTCTTTTTTTGTTTTTTGCTTATATCTCGGAAACGATCACTCCTATCGGTTTTTACCTTGTTAAAGTTTTTTTCCTACAAAAATTTAACCAAAATCAAATAACCAACCGTTATCCATAAAAAGACCATGCGAACATTTTTGTAGAAAATTTTGTAAGCTTTAATTTTGATAAGAAGGTAAAAACTGATAGAAGTGATCATTTCCGAGATGTAAGCAAAAAAACAAAAAAAGACACCTTTAACCCCCTTCCCCTCCTCGAGCTCGCCCCTACCCTCGGGGACTTTTGATATACAGGATGACCCAAAGGTGCGTGCAAGCTCCATAACTTTTTTTCTATCCAAGCTATCGATTTGATTTTTTTTAATGGGGTAGGTCCGATGATGAAGCACATTTTAAAAATATTTTCATTTAATACAGGATGTCCCAAAATAAGAAAACCCCCAATTTTTGTTACATTTTTGAATTCGACACTAAATTATCGATATAACGCATCCTATCTGCAATAGTTTTTGACTTACATCAATTTATGTGTCAAAATAGTCGTGTATAGACTACAAAAATTAATAACTTCAGAAACATTTAAGATAACTTAACATTTTTCAGTCGATTCTTTAAGCTTTAACAAATCCTCCGAGATGAAGGCGAATTTAGGGTCAATGTTCCGTCGCCTACTATGATTTTTTGAAAATTGACAAATTACAAAAACTCGATTTTTTCAAATACAGCACCCTATATTTTATTGCATCATTGCATGGCATTATTTATGAGCTTTTTTCCAATATAGAGTTTGTGGTATCTACTTTGTAAAATTTGTGACATTTTTGGAAAATAAAAAATGTAGATTTTTTTCGAAAAAAAAAAAAACTGAAAAAGCAACATATGCTAGAATTCGGAGCTTATTTATTAGAAGATTAGCAGCTTGTGTAGAACATGATGGTGACTTATTTGAGCATTTTCTCAAAATTTTTACATTGTTACAACCTTCGTTTCCTGTTCTTGTAAAAATTACTAAAAGCTTATAAAAAATGCCATACAATAAAATATAGTGTTGTATTTGAAAAAGTCGAGTTATTGCCATTTGTACTTTGTCATTTAAAAAAAATCGTAATAGGCGATAGAACATCGACTCAGAGTTCGCCTTTATCTCAAAAGATGCGCTAAAATTTGGAGAAGCGACTGGAAAAAGTTTGTTACGTTATCTTAAATGGTTCTGAAGTTATGAAGTCAAAAACTATTGTAGATTGAATGTGTTATATCGACAATTTAGTGGTGAATTCCAAAATGTAACAAAAATTGAGTGTTTTCATTTAAAAAACAGAACTTGTGTATCTTAGTTTGGGACATCCTTTATTAAGTAAAAATATTTTTGAATTGCGCTCCATTATAAGAAGTATTATTTAAAAAAATCAAGTCGATAGCTTATTTAAAAAAAGTTATGGAGTTTGGGGCACGCTGTATGTCTACCCAAGTTTATAAAAATTTAACTCTAGGATTTTTTTCCAACGATCGCCCAATTTTTGTCTAATTTGACTAAGCTAAAAGAAAATACTTTTCGACAGTATCAGCCTCCTCGACTCGTTCTCTTTTATTTTTTCCAGTACCAAAATGGGTTGGTAATCCCATAGCGGCCATTTTGGTCGCCTCATCATCCAGACTATCATTCTCTGAACATTTCGTTTCTTCCATTTTGCTATTTTCCTCACTCGAAACTTTTAAATTGCTTAAAAGAGTCCCTAGAGACTGGGCTACGTTGCTATTGACTTCGATAGGACACTTGACGTCGTTTTTCTCGACTTTTCCTTGAAACACTTTATGGATATTTTTCTTGGTTTGTTTGCTAACGTGCGAGGGGCTGCTTAAATACGCATTGGCTGTGCTAGGAACGGAGTTTTCGATTTTTTCGCCTAAAACAACATCTACTACCCTGATTTAAACTGATTCGATTCATTTAGACACTTACCACTGACGTTGTGTTCTTTCCAATTGGCCACGAAAATTTGGTATTGCTTCATGAACTCTTCCTCGTAGTGCCTCTTCCAGAGGACATTCCATTGGTGTTGGTAATCCTCCTCGTGCTCCTCCGAGCTGGTGGAACTCATCGAGCTCTGGACCGAACTAACCGACGAAAAACTATCCGAACTGTGCGAACTTTGGCTCAAATCCAACGAAGAGATCGTCATGCGAGTCACATTCGTCATTGAATCCACCGTTCGCAGAGAGCTGGCATGTGAGCCACACCGCGAGCTCAACAACTGCTCCACTTCCGTCTCGCAGTCCACACTGACCGGCGACAGGGGATTCCACCCTTCGGACACCTCCGTGAAGAGTTTATCATCGCTTCCGGACAAATTCCTCACCAAGACTCGATTCTTTTCGTGGGGTTCGATGTCGAGTGTCAGCAGTTCGCGCTGCTCTTTGGTTCTGGTTTCGCCGTTGGCTTGGTCTTGGGCGATATGGAGGTAGTCGGGGTTGATGTAAGCGCTGTATTTGCCGATCCACGATTCCCAGATGAGTTTTTCGCCGTTGAGGTACCAAAATTTCTGCCAATCGGCGTCGATGTCGTGTCTGATGCATTCGGTGAGGTCGGCGCCGCTGTCACTGGGTTGGAGGCCACCGCGACGGGGCTCGTGCGATTCACGGAGGCTGTCGTGCTCGTCGGTGGAGAGGTTGTCGGTGTGAGAGGCGCTGCAGTAACAACTAAGCGTCTCGGTCTCGGCCTAAGGTGCGAAAAAGCAACGGAAAAAATTTAAACCATTTTTATGACATTTGTCACGGTTGGCAATATTCGTTTGTTTTGTAATAAAAGCTAAGGTTACTATGCTTAAAAAAGTTTCAATTTACGATGAACCACAAAAATTTATTATAAAAGCATTTAAATTACTTATAGTCAAATAATTAACATGAAAAAACTAGAATTATTTCATCATAAGTTTTCAATTTAAATGCACTTTTTAAAATCTAGGACATTTTGTTATTTTAGGTTGGCTATCCCATTCAACGATAACTCGATAACACCTAAATTAAAAAAAAAATATGTTTTCAACATTTTTTTTCCAATTTTAAGTATTTTTACCAACATTTTTGGACTTATTAATCAGTATTTTATAGCGACTGCGCCTAGAAACACAAACATTGTCAAAATCATTTAGTTTATTGAAGTTGAAATTGGGTTTATAGTTTATTTGTTGTAAAATAGTATATTAAATACGAGTTATAGAATAAATGATTGCTTGAATGACTTTCTGTAACGAGTCTTTTATACATTTTTTTCCACTTTGCGCATGTCTGCTGTTTTAAATAAAAAAAGAATATTTTTCAATTTTGACACACAGCAGTGTCATTCATGTTGCCAAGTCTGGTGAAATTTCACCATATCTGATGATTTTTATTCTAAGCTAGTGAGTTGGTGAAAACTTTTTTAAAAATTCTAATATCTGACGATTTTTTGGAAATGTAGGTAAGCAGAAAATTAATAAATTTTGAAATCATTTTTTTAATTATCTATTCGCCCAAGTATTTAGTAAAATTAACTTTTTTGCGCAATTTTGCACAAGAAACCAAGTTTAATTTTTTAATTATTTTTTTTTAAATACGAGTGGTAAATTAAGTAAAAAATAATGACACTTTTTTGTTTTTTGAGCATTTTGTACGTTTTATTTTAACCAAAAACACTTTTAGCAAGTTTTCTAAAAAAAAAATTCAAAACAACATTCAATTAGTTAAAAAAAATGTTTTATTTGATTTTTTTTTAATAGATTTCACTCAATAGGGTAAAAAACGCCAAATTGGGTCCAAAAGTACATTATTTTGGCCTTTTCGGAGCGTTTGATAGTACGTTTTTCAGCCAGAAACAGAACAATTTTGCAAAATTTCGTAAGAAAGCAAAAATTTACCAAATTAAGCCAAAATTGGCGTTATTTTGCATTTTTAGCGTGTCTAAGCACCTTTTTGAAACAAATACTACGTTTTTCTAAAAAAAAAAAAAAACACTAAAACTAACTGAAAATTTAAATTAGGTTAAAATTGATGTAATTTTACCTTGTTTTTCTCGATTTAGTTCGTTTTTGAACCAGAGACTCATTTATTTTGTAAGAAAAAATTACAAATAAAATCTCAATTTATGTTATTTCGTATGTTTCATTCGATATAGCTCGTTTTTGAATAAAAATTTGTAAAAAATAAGCCGAAAAATGCAAAATTGTGTTGAAATTTTACCTTTAAGCAGGTTTTTGAAATATAATCTCAATTTTTTGCAAAATTATGCTAAAACCAACAAAAAAAAAAACGCCAAATTAAGTCAATATGTTTTAAGTGTCAAAATTTTTTAAGTGTTTCAGGTAAAAACGTAAATATTTCGCAAAATTTCGGTAAAAACAAGACAAAAAATTACAAATTACACCAAAAAAGTGTTATTTTTGCCTTTTTCGAGTGTTTAAACACGTTTTTGAGCAGATGTAAAGCTTCAATAGTATTAGAAATAATTTAATCTGGTAATCTGGGAAAATACGTCTGGAAATAAATTATTTCAGCTATCTTGTGAATTTAATTTTTTTGAGCTGATAACAGTGTTACTCAGGGAGGTATTGAAAAATTTAACTCGAACTGAATTCTCAAGATTTTTTCATGTTTACTACCAAAATTTCGGGAAATTGGTAAGTTTATTGAAAGTAATTTTCTTTTAACGGCATTGTAACCAACATTAAAAACATAGAATACGCTAGATTCGTGTTACCGCACCCAAACGATTTTTATTAAAATAAAAATTATGTATTTTGAAAAAATGAAACAATTTTTTCTTTTGTTTACTTACCTCCTGTTTGACTTTATTCTTTAAAATTTGGGGCAGTGAGATGCATTCACTCGAGACCTCCTGTTCGATTAAAAGTTCTTCTTCAGAAGCGCTGAATTCGGATGAGAAAACGGTTCGTTTGAGATTGTCATCTTTGTTTCTGCAAAGATTTAAAAATTTGAAAACTAGAGTCTGGAAATTCGTGATGAAACAAAAATAATAAAACACACTTCAAAAATAAAATATTTATTATCCGATATAAAACTTTACAAATCAAAATTCGATATATTAAAATTAAGCAACTCGTTCCTAGCTTGAAAATAACCTGTATCAGTCAGGTCATAAGGATCAGGTACAAATGGCGGTTGTGCTTCTAGTAAATTTTTCCAATCGGTGTTTTTGAAAACTTCTAATTTCATAACTTCGGCGGCTTGTGGTCGCTTTTCCGGATCCGGAGTTAACAAACTTTCAATAGCATCAACGACTTCTTTGCTTAGAGCTTCATCATCAGTGGGCCATTCAATGTTATGATCGAGAATATTTTTAAAAACTTGTTGGGGAGTTTCATCATTGAATGGGGGAATCCCTGTGACAAACTCGTAGAAGCAAACTCCCAACGCCCACCAATCCACGGCACAGTTGTGCCCCTTTTGCAACAACAACTCGGGGGCTAAATAATCAGGAGTCCCCAAAATGCGTTGATCGCTGCTCCACTGCCCCCTCTTCACCGACTTGGGAGTTCTATACGGAGTTCGGGGAGTTTTCGGAGTTATGGGACTAACAACATTTTCTTCATTTTTGCAATCAGAGTCTTTAGGAATTTCAAATCTTGTCGTTTTGATTATCACTTTGTTGGGTTTTGGATTCGAAACCGGCGTCGAGAACGTGACCCCCTTGGGGGAACTTGTCGAATCGACTCTTAGAATTTCCATTTCGCCAGTCAAACCTGTTTTTATGTATGATTTTCGGGTGGTTTCCGGACTCGGTGATCGTTGTTTCCGCTTCCGGTCGCCCCCTCGTATCTTGTAGCACCCTCGCCGACTCACGGGGGACGTGGCACAATTGGAGTCTTCCGGGTTGGTGCTCTGACACGTGTGGTAGGAGCTGTTGTCTGTGACTTGCAGTGAAGCCCCCTCGGCCGATAAAAACGTGACTCCTGACAACGCCGAGCTGTTGCAGTCGAACCGTCGCTCTAAATTGGCCCCCGAGTCGTCGTACTTGCTCAATTCACAGTTCCGGGAGTTCCCCGAACCGAAACTGAGATGCGAGGTGAGGCTCAAGAGTTGGCCGGGGGTGCGAGTGCAGAGATTGGGGGTGGCGTTTTCAAAATCGGATATCTCCAAGTCTCGGTGAATTTGGACACAGGAGAGGCCAAAGTCGGTTAATTTGACGTGGCCCTCTTTGGAGAGGAGCATGTTGTCGGGTTTGATGTCCCGGTGGATTATGCTATGACTGTGGAGGTATTGGAGGGCGAGGCACACCTCAGCGACGTAGAAAGTCGCCATAGGCTCGTCGAAAAACCCGTAGACGCTTAAGAGACTCTTGAGATCGCCCCCGACCATGTAATCCATGACGAGGTAAATCGACGATGCCGTCTGGAGGGTGTAGTACAATTGCACACAAAAAGGGCTCTTGGTGAGGGCCAAGGCATTGCGCTCGTTCACCACTTGCGACACCATGTTTTTATTCACCATTTCTGTCTTTTTCATCACTTTGATTGCGTACATCACGTCCATGTTCGTCTTTTTGCACCCCAAAAACACCTTACCGAAAGCGCCGCGACTTATGGGCTTGATTATGCAAAAATCTTGGATATTGGGAGCTTTGGGCTCGTTGTTGGTCATTTTAACATAGTGAAAAATGCGTTTTGGCGAAAATTGGGTTAAAAACCGTTTTGCCGCATTTAAATCTGATGGCGAACTAAATGACAGATGACAGAATAATAACCTACCTTACAAAAACCCTGCTACATAAACAGTAGATTTCTTTGGATTTGTCGCGGTTCTGCAGGTGGATCTCAGCCAATGCGTACCACGGCAACTCGCACATATTAATACCTCAAAATAGCATTTTTTGAGGAAGGAATCTCGCGATTTTTACATGATTTACACGATTTGCACCCATCGGAAGCTGCGTCAACATGGCCGGGTTTTGACAGCAGGGAAATTTTAAAAAGTAATTACCAATTAATCGGTCCCCAAAACAAAATAAATCATTTCTGGAACCGGAATTTTTTCAACTAATTGTCGTCTCCCATAAAACAACAACACATGCCACATTTTAAAACAAGGTAAATTCAAATTAGTTGTTCTATTCTAGGGTTTTTTCTTTGGCCAGATTGGCCCTAACGTTTCCATTTGATTTATGGCTCCACTCCCTTGATTTGATTTATTATAAAAAGACAAAATAGTTGTAAAAATTTATTTTACACAAAACACGAAGTACTTAAATAATCTGATCTAATAAATAAAGATAATTTCTTTTCCTTATTAATAAATATGTAAATTTTGAGTACAACTTAAAGTATTTGCACATATTTATTAGAGCTACCCTAGATATTATGTACCTATAGTTAGATAATAATAAAAAAAAACTCTCTTCAATAAATGAAAAACATCAGCAATTGATAGTACCAAAACATAATTTGCCTTAACACAAACATTTTTGAATGATATTGTACTACTTGGTTTTTATTCAGCATCATGGTAATGAACCCTGCAAAAAATAATTAATGTGTTGCAACATAATAATACAATTACCTTTGTTTTCCTAGATTTCGTTTGCTCAAACGACGCCCCAAATGGCCGTCAGAAAGGAGCGTCAATCTATCTGTGTGTGCCCTATTGACACGTAACTCTCTGTGTTCGGTTTCTTTAGCTTTTTCCACTTTACTCATGAATTTCTTGATTAAATCTTTACAATCCATGTTTTCCTCGGGCTCCCAACTGTTTTGTGAATTTGGGTAACCCTTCCATGACACTAAGAATTCACGTTGGCCGTTTCTTTTAAAGTAGACGTCCAGAATGCGATCAACCTGAGCAAAATTTTAATGACACTATAAAAAAAACACCTTTCTTTACCTCAAAATCTTCATTTTCGTCCCATGTTTCGTCAGTGGAGCTGTTTTTCCCACTGTCTCTGGCTCTCTTCCGTCCTGCTTTCGATTTGCCTTTCTTCTTCTGCTTGTTTTTGAAATCCGCGATCAATTCGGGGCAATTGAGAGTCGATTCGGGCTCCCAGGTGTCCGATTCCGGCTCGTAACCCTTCCATCTAATGAGGTAATGGTGTACCCCCCTGATGACCTTCTCGTCCAAGACTTGCTCCACCTGAGACAAATAAACCAACAAATAAACATGGTTGGTATGACCAAAACAATATGGTGGCCATCTTAATCGAGCATTGGTGAAGAAAAGGCGCCAAGAAGCTTTTTTACATAACTAACCTCGTATTGCGGCTCCTCTTCAGTTTCTTCCTCCGCTTTCTTCGAATAGCCTTTGCGCTTGTTTGATTTGCGTTTTTTTTCCTCCGGTTCCGATTCGTGCTCTTCCCGATCGGAAGCGTCGCCGTTCTGGTCTTTCTCATCGCTTAGGCCGTTTGGGGTGTCGGTTTCGGCCTTTTTGCTTTTTCTTCCTTTACGTTTCATTTCCGCGACACAAAAATTTAAATTTCAGGTGAAAGAATTTGTTTATGTTTTATAAGAGACGCCACGGGAGCGTTTATCGTGATACAGTGTGACCAACCGTAACACCAACCTAATAAAAAATACACTAATTGACAAAATCAAAATGTCACTTTAATTCAAACAATGGCCACGGAGGCGCTCTTAATTCAACTAGTTTTTATTTAAAAATTAGGTTTTTTACATAATCACAAGTCGGAACGGACCCCGAAGCCTGGGCCTGGGGGCTCACCAGCGAGACAAGTTGGCTCTCCAATCGGCTCAGCAGCAAATCGGCCATTCCTAAACAAAATCAAAATTATGTTTAATAACAAAAAATGGAAATATTTACCTAGGGCCAGGTTTTGGTTTTTTATCGTTTTTTAAATCATTCAAAATCTCTTCCGTGTCTTTGGCTGTCAAATCCTCCTAAAAACTCATTTTTTAGGTGTTTTTTCACGTGATTTTCAAATTAAAACTCACGTAATAATCATCATTAACTTGTATCATGGGCGCATTCACGCACGCCCCCAAACACTCAACTTCAGAGAGTGTAAACATGCCATCACTGGAAGTTTCCCCAACTTCCAACTTCAAATTGCATTTGATTGTGTCTAAAATCTCATCAGAGCCCCTCAACCAACATGGAGTTGTTGTACAGATTTGAATATGGTATTTTCCTGTCGGTTTACGCATAAACATTGTGTAAAAAGTCGCAACTTCGTACACCCTCATCCTTGGCAAGTTTAAAATTTCAGCAACTTTGTGCATTGCTGAAATTGGGAGCCACCCATGTTGTCTTTGCGCCAAGTCAAGAAGGGGGATCATGGCGGCTCGTTTGTGGCCTTCGGGGTAAATCGCAAGAATGGCTTCAGCCCTCTGCAAGGGAAAAATTAAAGCCTTTTAGGGGGTGTCACTAGTTTACCTTCTGGTTTTCAGGAGTGAAATCAAAAGGGATGTCGGGGTTGTCCTCAGGAGTGTCTCGGTGGTTGAACACTGCTTCATGTTGAAGGGCTGAAGCGGTTTGTAGGGAACGAACCCCTAAAGTTCGACGCTGAAATGTTAGGTTACGTTATGTAATAATATTGACGTAAACAAAAGAAATTTTCGTTATAACAGTTGAAATAATTACCAAACAGCTTCCGATGGTCTTAATTGTTGTCAACATTGTTTCAATTTGTAAAAAATTGAGAAAATTCGAAATTACTTTTTTTTGACGTGACAGCTGACAGTCAGTGTCACCAACAAAAAAATACTTAATGCTAGAATAGTAGAAATGTTATTTATTATTATTTTTTATTTAAACTAATATGGTTTAAATTCGGATAAATTGATTAGGTGGACAACAAATTTTTGTCAAAAATTGTATATTTTTGCCGTTAGAGAGTGGCGACACTGCTGATAGGCGTGTCATCCCGTGCGTCACCTGTCATTCTTGTCAAAATGTGTTTATGAAAAAATTTAACTAAAAACTCTCATCATGTTTTGAATCTCAAGAACGCACAAAATGCCCGCAATGAAGGACTCGTACATCGTAAAAATCGCGGTCGAGATGACCGACCAAGTGCCGCAACTCATCGAATTCAACCAAAAGCAGCCCCTCGCCGGCATAATCCAAGAACTGTGCAACGGCTGGAATCTCAGCGATCCTGAACAATACGCCCTCCAATTCAACGACAGCAATAACCGAAATTACATAACGGAAAAAAACCGCAATGAGATCAAAAACGGCTCGGTGTTGCGCCTCCAATACTCCCCCTCGAAGACAGCCCAGGATATCCTCCACAAACTACACAACGGCAATCCCGAGGAAAAGGCACACGCGATGCACCGTTTATCGAATCTGAGCGCCGACATGACTTTCGCTTTGGATTTCATCAACAAGCAAGGACTGACTTTGATTATTAAACAAATCGAGACTGGTAAGTGCAAGGGGGCTGTCTTAGCCCACACTTTACTGTCTTTCGTCGAACTGATGGAACACGGGATTGTCTCATGGGATATTCTCAACGGTGATTTCATAACCCGCGTTGCGAGTTTCGTGAATTCGCCCCAAGAGGCCGAAGTCACTCAAGCCGCTCTCTCGATCCTAGAAAACGTCGTTTTGAACAGTACCGAGGGGTATGGGCAGGTGGAGCGCGAGATACCTATTGGGTCGCTCGTGGGGCACCTCCAGGCGACTCCTGTGGTCCAACAAAACGCCATAGCTCTCATAAATGCGTTACTCCTAAGGGCCGATTCGGCCAAACGCAGGTCTTTGGCATCAACTCTCACTTCCAAACAAGTGAGGAGTATGATTCAGAATCATATTTTGCAAACGGGGGCCGCTTTAGGGGCCGAAATGGCCCACCAATTGTACGTTTTGCAGACTTTAATGTTGGGGTTGCTTGAACAGAGAATGGTCACTAAGATGGATCCGCAGGATCAGGATGGCCACGATAAGATAAAGGAGTTGCGGAGGATTGCGTTTGATAGTGAAGGGGCTGGGGGGAGTCGAGGACCGGGGGGGTTCACTCGAGATTATAAAAAACTAGGCTTCAAAAATGATATTAATCCGGCGCTGGATTTCACTGAGACGCCTCCCGGATTATTGGCTTTAGATTGTATGATTTATTTCGCCCGGAATCATCCCGATAGTTACACTAAACTTGTCCTGGAGAATAGTTGTAGGGCTGATGAACATGAGTGCCCCTTTGGAAGGGCTAGTGTCGAGTTGGTCCGGATTTTATGCGAGTTGCTCAAAATTGGGGAAGCCCCTTCGGAACAAGGAGCCTCCTTTCAGCCGTTGTTTTTCACTCATGATAACCCCTTCGAGGAGTGTTTTTGCATCTGTATTGTGTTATTGAACAAGACGTGGAAGGAGATGAGGGCTACTTCGGAGGATTTCGGGAAAGTAGCGAGTGTCGTAAGGGAGCAAATAGTGCGGGCTTTGGGGGTCCCCCCGCCATCGTCGTTAGAACAGCTGAAAGTGAAATTGCAGACTTTGACCTACAGTGACATCACTCAATTATGGCAATTGGAGCGGACGTCGAGGGAAGAGTGGGAATCCCACGCGCGCCCTATAGTCGAACTCCGCGAACAAATCACTCCCGATATTCTCAATTTGATAAAACAGCAACGTCTCGCGTTCCTCGTCGATGGGACAAGATTTACCAAATACTCGGCTCGGGGGCAAAGGATTAAGGATAAGTTTTGGTACATCCGTCTCAGTCCCAATCATAAGGTCCTTCATTACGGGGATTGTGACGAGAAGAGTTCTCCTACCACCGAGGAGCTTCCGTCGAAGTTAGCTGTGGCGGATATAAGGGCTCTTTTGGTCGGAAAGGAGTGTCCACATATGAAAGCAAGGAAGGCTTCGCATCAATTGGCGTTTTCTTTGGCTTTGGAAAGTGTGGATTTGCAGTCGTTGGATTGCGTGGCGCCGGATGAGGAGACCTTTGCGTATTGGACGGATGGGATTAATGCACTGTTGGGACAAAGGATGACGAGTAAGGAGACGGATCGGGATTTGGATACGTTGCTCTCAATGGAGATTAAGTTGAGGTTGTTGGATGCGGAAGGGGTGACGATTCCGCAAGATCCGCCCCCGATTCCACCGGATCCGGCGCATTATCATTTTTGTTATGATCTGAAATAGGCCTGTAATGGGATTTTGGGATCTGAACAAGACTAATTATACCAAAAATTGAGATATTTATTAGTTTGTAACTAATTTTTAGAGACGTGGTATACATGTGAGCTAATATTTGTGTATTTTGCATGAAATAAAGACTTATTTATAAGATATTCGTGTTTTTTTGATAACACCGAAAAAAATATCGATAATCGGTGACAACGATAATCGAAAAGGAAATCATTGATGACTGATTTGTTGAAGAATCTATTTACTACCGCTCACCTTCAAAAACTCAAAAAATTCAAAATTTTTGAAACTAGACCCAATGTCGTTTTCTGCATTTATTTGAGTCCTTAAGACCTCTAGAAATGTATAAAACGTAAAATAGATCAATTTTAAAGTTAAAATTTTTTAGATTTTTGTCGAGATTTTGGTCGATTTTTGGCACCCGGAGCGGTCTAATGGCAATAACTCCGGACTTATTAGAGATAACTTTTCATATTTGGTACCGTTGGATAGAAAATTTAATTTTCTATTATATATTAAAAAGTTCAGTGCTCTACGATGAATAGTTATCGAGAAAATTTCTGATAAAGTCAAAAATATCGACAATTTAAATCCGACTATAACTTCAAAACTACTACGAATTTTGCAGTTTAATTGACGCCAATCGATTCCCCGGAATATTTTACATAGGTTTACGTCAAAATATTATGTCATTGAGACACAGTTTTGCCGCAATTTACAAAATAAAAAAAACTAGTGTTTTTAAACATGTCTCAGATTCAATTTAAACCTATCCGATAGATTTTGACGCGTTAATTACGAATTTCCCAATTATTTTGCGCTATCTCCTTTAGTTTCGTCGTAATCGGCGTTTAAAAATTCAAATTTTTTTTGCGAGATATCGACTTGGGTTTGGCCTCAGTCGATAGATTTTCTTACGCTGATTACGATGGAGTTGGACTGATTGCTCTAAGTCTAATAGTTTGGCCGTAATCGCCGTTCAAAAAGCGAAAATTGTCAAAATTGTGAAAATTTAAATGCGTTTTTCTACGAAACTATAGGACTTAGAGCAAAAAGCTAAAAACCATTAAAATTAGCTTAAAATTATCTATTTAGTGGCGCAAACCGGAAGTCGCTCCGGGTTATGGRTCCGGGTACAGAGCCATTTTTAGTTTTTTTTTTTTTTTTAAATCATATCTCAAAAACTATGAGTCTTAGGTCAACAGGGTTTATACAGGCGTGTTCTCCGGTTAATTTTACATATAGTACGAGTTTTTCATAAGAATAAAAAAATATTGATTTTTGGTCAAAATCGGATATAGTACTTATACTTTTAGCCTTATTCTTAACTTTATTACTCAATATCTCAAAAACTATGCATCATAGAGTATTCTAAACTAGTTGCATCGTGTTCAGCGAGTAATTTTACGTCTAGAAAACCATATTTCAACCGTTTTTACGATTTTTAGTAAATTGACTATTTTTACGATTTTACTACTGCTCATCTTCAAAAATTAAAAAAATTCTAAATTTTTGAAACTTGAACCAAAGGCGTTTTATGTACTTATTTGAGTCCTTAAGACCTCTAGACATGTAAAAAACGTAAAATAAATTAATTTTAAAATTAAATTTTTTTTTGATTTTTGTCGGGATTTTGGCACCCGGAGCGGTCTAATGGCAATAACTTAGGACTTATTGGAGATAACCTCTTATATTTGGTACCGTTAGATAGAAAATTAAATTTTCTGACATATATTAAAAATTTCAGTGCTCTACGATGAATAGTTATCGAGAAAATTTCTAATAAATTCAAAAAAATTAATTTAAGCCCGCGCGTGCGCACAACTCCAATTTTAAATTATCGAACATCGAATATTCGTTGAACATTTAAAAATTAAAAAAATTAAGAAAAATAAATAACCGAACCACTTTAACAATGTTATCACATGGAATTAAAAACATATAAAAATGGTTACACAATTTTAAATTATCGTTTTTACATGGATGTATTTGAGCAATATTCGATGTATTAAAAATATCGAAATTTTGCGTGATGTAAACAAATTTGTGAGGTTAAGAGATGTCAAACAAGGGGGCTTTGGCTCTACTGGCCGAATACGAGGGTGACAGTTCTGAGGATGAAGTCCCCGGTACGCGTGCTTCCACCAAAAGACTCCACAAAGACGATGATGAGGAGCCCCGAAATAAACGTTTTGAAAGGTTAGGAATAAGAAGTCGCAATAAAATTTTTGAGGGTTTTTTTTAGGCTTCCGGTACCAAATTTCACGATTAATAAACTCGAAGAGGTTGTAGATGATCCAGGATTACATGAGGGGCGACTTCGAAGTTTCCCTCATGAAAGGGGGAATTGGGCCACTTATGTTTACATCCCTTGTAAGTACTAACTTTTTTTTAACAATTTTAAAATTGGGGTTTTAGATGAGGCCAATGAAGGGTTACAGAGACTGATTTCACGAATCGCGGATTTAAGTCAAGTTGAAAATATTGAATTGAAATTTTTCGATAGTTTTCATTTGAGTCTTACACGAACCGTGGTTTTGAGGCATCATCTGATTGAGCCTTTTGTTAACACAATAAGGGAAAATATCAGTCATTTTAATAAGTATGCTACGGAAAAATTAATTACAAAATGAAGACATTTATTTTTTAGATTCATTGTAATGTTTGATAGCCTAGAAGTGTACACAAACGAAGAAAAAACACGCACTTTTTTAGGTTTACAAATTAAAACCGGTTACGACTCTCTAGTGAAATTAATTCAATGTCTCGACCATTGTTTAGGTGAATTTAAATTACAGAAATTCTACGAAAATCCTTCTTTTCACATTAGCATAGCTTGGTGTCTTGGTGACGCAACAGAAAAATTCAAATCAATAATTGGTGACTTAAATCACGAATTAGAGCAACTCATGAATGAATTCTCACAAGAAAATTGGTATATTTATGTGGAGGAAGTTTTTTGTAGGACAGGAAACAAATTGTTTCGGTTTCAATTGTTGTGATTTTTTTCTATATAAAAAATAATCAAAAACTAATGTTTTTTAATAAAATATGACCGTCCTGCTGGATTCATTATGCAACCTTTGAGCGGTTTTTCAAGACACCATTCATACCACACCTTATCGGCATTTTCGACTCTCCAAAATGAGATTTCTATGACGCTCCCAGCTTCAACTTTTATTGGTTCCTGTAACAAATTTGATTAGAAAAACTCGGGGGAAAAACAGTCGTACCATCAATGGGAACACAATTGGGAACCAACTGACCATCTCATGGGTGTGTGTTTCTGGGTGGATACTCAACATCACATCCTTGTACAAAACAGTATCAAAAAACCCAACGAAACCCGTCAAAATGCAACTCTGCTCGCAATTAAACCTCAATTTTTTATACCTCTCATTATTTATCACCTCATTCCAATTGGGGTGTTCAAATCTGAACAAAGCCTGTGCGGGGGCTATTTGGTAATAATTGACCAAATGAATCACATATGGTGTCTCATAACACGTTTTCAGTGTCTTATCCGCCGGCCGATTATTCCTAATCTCGTTAAAAATCTTGATGCTTTGAAGGGGCGCCAAATACGACGTGTACGAACACGGAATCGAGATCCCCTCCCTTTTGAGGAACCTTTGCGCCCCATCGAGACACTCCGGCGAGAGTTCATTATCCCCAAACGACCCCAACAATTCCGACACCAGAATATCGGCCTTCTCCGGGGGCTCATACACACGCATGTCTTCGTTTATGAGAGTGACTTGGCCGTTCCACTCGTGGTTCACTCGGTCTATGAGGGTGTTAATGGCGTAGGGATTCTTCTCGACAGCGTAGACTTTCACTTTGCGGTGGAGGATGTACGAGACGTTGAGGGCGGCTTGGACGAGGGGGCCTCGGCCTGCTCCCACGACCATGATGACGGGGAGAGCGACGTCTTGAGGCACGTCTTCGAGGGCTTTCTGGATGGCGTTCTGATATGTCGTGTACTTGATTTGGTCTTTTTCGAACACTTCGTAAATGTTGGTTTCAAGGTGCTCGGTGAGGGGCTGCAGGGGGTTTTGCAGGAAGTCTTCACAGCTAAACATTAACGCTTTTATCACGTTTCAAATTTAGTTTTTTTTTCATATTAATGTGCATCAAGTAGCCCTAAATGCATCTTTAATTTAAAGGCAGATACACACAAAAAGTGTCAATAAGTACAAAAATCTTTATTTTTTCGACCCAATGTTAATTTTGTTGTTAATTTGTAATTATTTTTTGCTACCTGGGGTGCACATTTACTTGAAAAAATTATTTTTAGGGAAGATTGAGATTAGGATTGTTTGAATTTTCGCATGGTTGCCACCTTAAAATGATCCCTTTCAAAGACTACTTCGATGCACATTAATATAAAAACGATGATACTTACCCTTGAATAAAATCGAGATTGGAGTCACCAACGTACAGTTTTTTCCCCAAGAAATGTAGATATTTAGTGTAGAGGGATAAGTCGCCCTCGGAGTCCGATTTGATGATATATTGGACGTCTATGGTTAAAAAACGTTGAATTATGTCCTGGTGGGCGCGAGACAAGACAGGTTTCCCGTGATTGTTTAAAATAAAGTAATTCGTGGGGATAATTAGGGCTTTGACCGGCTCCCCAATCCATCTATTGATCTCACTTTGTGAAGGAATATGTCTAACTTCAGGTAACTCCAAAACTAGCCCTACGTGTTTATCATAATTACAGTAAGTCCTAAAATCGTTCCACCACTCCCAGGAATCCTCCTTCTCGTCGTCGCCACAAATGGGGCTGTATTGCGACGGGTGCACCATGGGTACAGTGACCCAAAAACTGGACGTGAACCCGTTCACAAGCTTCTCATTGAGAAGACGCCCCAATTGCGCGTTGTTTCGCTTAGTTAGGGCGAATTTTATAACAGGGACTCCCAAATGAACCGCAAAACCCAACTCTTGCAAAAATAGGGCTTTGCTTTTTCTTTGCACAAGTTCAATTTCGCTGTCCACGTTAATGGTTGGCGTGAGTTCGGCTTAAATTTGTCAAATTTAAAATGAGTTTCACGTGGAGGGCAAACCTACCAACGATATAGCGCCCCCATTCGAGACTTTGCAAAATGCGATCGGTGCGGCCGATTGCTGGCGGGGGCTTCCCGTGGAGGAGGTCACGAGCGTAGTTAGGGTGCGTTATTTGAGTCACTAGGAAATGGTAACCGAACTCGTAAGCTGACTGAATCGCAAGTCTGAGACTGTGGGGGCAGTTGACTTGGAGGCCGGTTGACATCCGCTTGCGTTTCTCATTGTCTCCGTCGGGGTAATATTGAGATTCGACGCTCATTTTCGGGCTAAAACATGTTGTGGATTGAGGTTATGTCAAATGTCAAGTTTCAGCTTTTTGCACAAAAGTTCACAAAAAAGGATCTAAAAGCCCCAAAAAGTGCGAGGGGATTAATTTTCGAGTTTCAAAAAACGATTTTTTAAAGGAAAATGAAGCTTACCGTTTAAATAACACTTTTTTTTAAACTAAACTGTCAAAATAAAAATTGACAGTTCCGCACCAGTTCCGGGAGAAGTGCCAACCTATTCAATTTAAAATTTACTATTAGTGGTATTGCCAATATGAGAGAATATTGAATTTTTTTATGTTTTCTTCAATATTTTGTGCTTTTCTATGCTTAAATCATATTTGTAACGTTATTTAATTATTTTTTTGTTTAATACAAAAATAGTTTTAAGGGTTTTGTTACAAATTATAATAAAAAAATAAAACTTATTTTAAAAGGGGTAGATTTTTTCACGTTATAAACAAGATAAAATTTGTAGTAGCTTGGTTTGTTAAATAACAATAAAAACAGAAATAAATAAAAAACAAAAGAATTGCTGTAACATTTTTTATTTAGTATACAGGGTGGTCGTCCACTTATTTTTTTTACTAGATGAGTAGTAGGTACTGTAATACAATTAATACAATAATGTTTTTTTATCTTATTTGATCAAAATTTAAATTTAGTTTTCGCTCTTTCTTCCGTTTGGTTAGTTCTTCGAGTTTTAAATCGAGTTGGCGTTATTAAAATTGAGAAGTGACCCGTGACGTCTTCTCCGGCAAACCCAATCGCGAAAAATTCCCGACCGGAAATAAAACAAACGTCGTGCGCCTCCCCGCCCGCCATCGACCAATCGATGCGTGTCTGTGATCACGTGCTGGCCCTCGTGATGCACCACGTGACCTCGCGTTAATTAACGCGGGCTTCGTGCGACATTTAATCAGGCCGTTGGCGCACTTTACAAAAGCAAATATGTCTCGAAGTGTATCCGTGAAAAACGAGCGTGCCTTTCTCATATACAAAAGCCTCAAAGATAAGCGTATATTTTCCATTAAACCATCATTTGTACGTATTCATGCAGCACGGCATCAGATAAGTGTTGCCAACTGTACATATTAAATGCGAAGGTGTACAGAAAAGCGTTTTTGGATCGTTTTACTTTACCATCGGGCTCCGCCTTCGCTAGGGGAGGGATGGTTCGCGGGTGACGCCCTCGGCACCCCTGGCCGAGTGCACCGGCCATCATTGCTAGGGTGAGCGAGGGTGGAATCAGGGTGTATTGTAGCGTCACCCCAGCTTGTTATGTTCTGAAGTGTTCGATCGCCATATTGATAGGAATACTCACTTTTTATTGGTGGATTTATAATCAGTGCGAAAAATGCTAGCCTGAAATATGTATTCTATTGATTTTGTGTAAATAATTCGGGGGAGGTTCATTTTTTATTGGTTTGGTGTTTAATTAGGAAAACGAGTCGAGGATATATTAACATACAAAACTATCGGCGTGTGTTTATGACAGATAATAAATATTGTTCTAATTATGTATTGCACGCATGAGGAAAAATTGCTTCCGGTCGAAAAGCCCCTCCCAAAAAGTGGTACCTGCCCACTAAAAGTACCACGATGAAGGCGATGTTCATATTTCCGGTAATTATGACCGCAAATCATATCTCGAGAATTTCAGATTGAGATTCTTGATGTTCCCAGCATTATTTTCAATTAGGTGGGAGGAATTAAATAAGGTGGAAAATATTAACGGCCGGCGGATGTGCTCGTTTCTTGTATTCATTTGTTTGGTAAAAGTTAATAGACAGACGCAACTAGATGGAAAATGTTCATCATTTTATCATAAATGAATAATTAGTTTGCGTGTAGAGCTTGTTAATACGTTTTCCTCCATCTAATTGTTATTCTTTATCATAAATGGGAAGCTCAGTTTAATACACACTTGTGTAATCTCTGAATAAAACTTATTTGAACCATTCTCAAGTAAAAAAAGAATTTATTCAAATACAAGTGTTTAATTACAAGGTGAACGAATAAAAAAATTGTGTTTTGAAAGTGAAATTTTGTTTTGTTTTTCAGTTATGCAATTTTTTTTTGAAAATAATGGAATAAAATTTAGATGTGTTGTCATTTGAAAAAAATAAAAATTTTGCAGATCTCAAAAACAAAAAAAAACTCGAAAAATTTTATTCTCGAGAAACGACACGTTTTTAAAGTACATACTTGATCATTCACTAATTATTTTTTTGAAAAAATATATAGTTTAATTTAAAAAACGTGTTTAGTTTAAATAAATATTTTCCAACAGCTTAGAAACAAGCTTAAAGCTGAGAAAACAAAAAAAAATGTTAAATTAGACAGTTTTTGCATATTTAGTCTCATTTCAAGTTTTAAAGAAGATGTTTACTTCAACAACACGAGTACAATATTAATTACTCATGTATTTATTTTTTTGAATTGCAGATTTTGTAGATGCATAAGAATTTTAATTTTGTTTTTATTATAATGTAGCTACTTGTAAGTGTATTTAATTAGGTGAATGTATAATTAAAATAATAAAAAAAAACTATTGAATACGTAGAAATAATTATTTTTTATCAAAATTTTTAAGACCAATTGGATACAAGTACAAATAAGAGATTTTTTACAAAAACTATATTTAAAAAAGTTGTACCTATAGGTAATATAGTTTTTTGAAGTTTTTGATATTTTCTCACAAAATAAATTTTATATTTTATAATTATTTATTTTTTTAGCATTTGGGAGGGTTTAGTTAGATTAGTCAGTTTAATATCAATAATTAAAAAAAAACTGCTTCATTCATGTAACATAATAATTCGAAAGTTACTAATTTTAAGGCTTGCCAATATATTTATTGTCACTTTGACAATGCACTATGTCATCTGAAGGGACATAGAAATTATCAAATCATCTTTTACAATTGAATTATTTTGCTTCTTCTTATCAGCATCTAAGAAAAAAAAATGATAAACTTAGGTATATCTTATATCTTCTGTTATTTCTACCACCACACTGGTAACGTTTTTTGAGCTGAAATAGGACACAAATATAGTGCTCTACAAAAGTTGAGGAAATGTGCAATAACTACAATAATTAATTAAATTAATAAATTATTAAAAAAAAGTAATCAATTAAAAGTGAGATAAAAGCAGATTTTTATTTTTTTGCTTTTCCTGGATTCCAGAATGCTTAGAAGAATAAAATTTGTCTGTTGTAAAAATAATGCGACTTCCTTAACTTTTGTAGATCAGTTTATTTGATTATTTGATTTACAGAAATCACAGGTAAAAAAATTATGTTACAATAGGACCATATTGACAAATTTAGAGACAAAGTAGAGACAAAAGACTACTATTTCATACAAAAAAAAACTTTATGAAAAATGATAGAATGGTGACAGAAATGGCACAAGGTATACTTTTAATCTTTAATACACTATATGTAATTAAAATAATAACATTGCAACTGCATTTTTTGGGGTCAAATTGAATACAATATTAAGGTTTCTGTATAAAGAAAGAATCTGTGTTATAACTTATTAACCCTAATGACAAATGAGAGCCAGGTACAACTATTTTACGAAGAAAATATATAATGCAGTACCTAACTTCATAAAATATTAAACTGTATTTTAAATAAATGAGCTTGAATAAATTTTAATAAACGTTATTTTTTTTAAAGTAATTGCATTTTATTTATTTTGAGAGAAAAAACGAAATCGTATGTTGTTTTTAACTTTTTTTTTCTCCACTCTAAAAATATAAATTTTTTTAAATGTTATTTTACCAACTTTCTAAACATAACTGTACATCTACAAAAATTGGATCCCTCGTGTTGTACCCCACCCCTTTCAATAAAACTTTCTAATTTGAGCCACCAACACAACCTAAATTGATGGTACACAAAAAAATATAAAACAAAAACCGAAACGGTAAACTCACATACGCTGGACATCTGGTCCCTTGCATCTGCATATGGGATCATAAATCCATAACCGTATAATACCCTCGCGAGCCCATCAAGAACGGATGCTGTCGTAGGACCGTTGGGTAACTTTTTTTAGAATAGAAAGGGTGCTTTGTTGGTGGACCGGTGGCCGGCTGGGTCATGGTCAAAGTTCGAACACCACAACACCTGGATTTATCACTACATTACGGAACAATTGTCGCACATAGGCGGAGGCCATCAGATTTTTCAAGGGAGAAAAAATTTAATTTTGAAATTAATTTTTTCGACAATCATGTGTGAAGCTGAATTTCACACATCTAAATTAGTTAGCCAGCTCATTTCACACACCGATAGAAATATGGCAACTTAATTGTGAAGTATTTAAATAATTAATTTCAACATTTAGAAAAAACGCTGTCTATATCATGTGTGCGAAACAAAAAAACGGCGTTATCTTGTTTCGCACACTTAGTATAAAAATAACTTAATATTTTCTACAATCCCGTGTAAAGTTGAATAAGTAAAGTTAGTTATTTTTTGTTAAAAGTGCTAAATTTACAGCAGTGTGTGAAGTGGTTATTTCACACACTGACGGCATTTCACACACTGACCAATTACATTTTAAATTTTGTAGAGAAAACGTTGTTTACACTATATTATGTGCGCAAAACTGAGTTTTAACGCTCGAATGCCTTTTTGTGTCTACATATTCTCCCGTCGTTTCACACACTTAATATACAGTATGATGAAAAAAAGGCGCCCGTGTTAACCCACACGTTATAAGTGATCTTTTATTCGAAGACCAAAATTGGATTTGTGCTCTTATCAGTAAGATATAGACTTTCCTTTTTAGAAAAGAGAAATCTATATAATTAACAGTTTTAAAATAATTTCATTGTTAAAGTCTAGATTTTGATACTGTTGACGGTGTTCTTAAAAAAAAAGTCTATTGAAATAAACTTTATTGAAGATGTTTGGATACCATTTCTTGGCTCCAAAGAAAACTTATCAATGTTGCAACATTGCAAATATCCTAGGATACAGAAAATGTCCAAGTAATGTTCAATTATTGGAAACGGTAGCAACAAAAAAATCAATTTTCAATGTTGTTTGTTCTGTGAAATTTGAACGATTAAAGTCAAAAAGATTTCCTAGATACGAAAAATACCTGAGTGAAATAGTTTTTTAGTAAAAGAAATTTGTGCAATATTGCCGCTTTGTGCTGTTAGACAAACTGTTTAAATTTTAAAAAGAATCTATTTAGACTATTTTTGGA